CCTAAAAAGGGAGCAAATACTAGCATTTACTTCAAAGTACTGCTGTCAAAATTCAACCACAATCACTATATATAAAGTACTGTGATCCACGCACCTAGGAGAGTGCTTATCCCATACGTGTTAAGCTGTATCCAGATTTTAATAAATCTATCGTCTTCCAAGAAAGAACTTGAAATTTCAACAGGCCTCGGTCCTCAACAGTAAGTTCAGTAAACAGTGAAAAAATCCTCAAGGCTCGTTATGGGGCCTGTATACCCCCAGAGTCTCTTTCAGCACGTTACACGCGGGCAGGCGGAAGGGACACTTCCCACACTCACCGATCTGTGAGGGAGTCAGGCCCTTCTTGGCCAGCTTGTAGATCTGCTCCTTCACGTCGTCAGAAGTCAATTTCAGCCACTGTTCATGCAAAAGCAAGCGGCCTTAGGGCGAGGACCGGGACCGGGCGGAAGCACGGCGATCCCCTCCACCCTTAAGGCCCCACCCGGGCGCCGCTCTTCCCGAGCGACGACCAGCACCCCCTCCTTATCCCCGGTGCCCGCAAGCTACTCACTGTGGGGACGCTGCGGCGATAGGGCAGAGCCGACTGGGACAGGCCCTTCCTGGGGAGAGAAGCAGTTGCGGAGTGAGGGGACGGCCCGTGCCTCAGCCCAGATCTCTATCCCCCCGACCCGCTCCCGACACGCCCTCCGTTCTCTCCCTACCGCCACGGCCCAGCCCCGCAACCCGCTCGGGAACCCCAACGCACCCGGGAGCATGCATGCGACCCATGATGGCGGCGGGCAGGCGGCGAAAGAGGGAACGAGCGTGGGGACGCCGGAGGAAGCCACCCGGCACGCAGGAAGTGACCTCACACGTCTCGCCCTCCGTAGGGGGCGGAGCTACGCTACGTAGCCCCCGGGGCCCGCGAGACTACATATCCCGAAATGCATCCTAACGTCAGTAAGAGTCGCAAGCAGCAGGACTACATCTCCCGGCATGCATCGACGCCGCAGCTCGTCAAGGCCCGGGCGGGAAATTGAGCCCGCGTCTAGCCCCGGCCGAGCGGGTTCGGTAAGTGCGGGTTGAAATCTCTGACAGGAATTCGACCTTATACGAATGTCCATACACCATCTGTGGGTCACCTCCCTGGCCAGGATTGAACTCAGGCCATAGAATGCTGAAACTTAACCCCTAGGTCACCAGGGAGGCCCTGATAATGATTTATCATCATTGGCTAACGTCTTTGGTCTGCATGTGCAATAGACACCTCGAACTAACATGGTGCCAATTCCCTTCCCCTCCCCTACTCCAGACCCCTTAATTTCATTTAAACAATCCCATTTGTTCAAACCACAAACCGTGGAATCTTGACTTTTCCTTTTTGTCTTATTCCTATTGGAATTGTCTCAGCTCTACCACAAAAACACATAAATACACTCACTTCTCTCCATTTCTGCTATCCCTAGTCTAAGTACCCAATCTAAGCCACTATCAGCTCTCATCAGGGCAACTCAGTGGTATCGCAACTTTTACTCATGCCCTCACCCCAAACATGTAACTCATTTGTTATCGGGCAGCCCCGATATTGAACGGGTTGCCTGGCTAGCTTTAGGTAGGACACCCTTTTCCCCCTAACACATTCTCCACCTGGCAACCAGCAAATCAGGTAGTTGCCATTTTTAAGTGTATTACTCCTTCCTATACTTTCTCCCTGCATTTAGAATAAGGCAAGCCATACATCTGACCTCATGCCCCACCATGCCCCTCTCCCCCCCACCCCCCCCCAGTTCTAAGCACTTGGGGCAAATTTATTCCTTCTGACCTGACCCTTCAAGGTTAACAAGCATTGTCCTCTCCTCTTGTTGCCCCTAACTGAAGTACTCTTTCCCCCCAAGACTGTCTTAGGCCTGGCTGTCAGATCTCTATATCATCAAAGCAGAGGAAGTAGAGCAAGGGCTTCTAAAATAGTCCTACCTCTCAACACAATATCCTATTATTTTAATAGCACATGAATCCTTATTGTTCTCTGGTTGTTTGGCCGCCACCAAAATTGGAACTGAGAGTACAAGTCAACTGCTTATTCCTTTTTCCCTCCAACATCCAGAACTGTGCTTAGCAGGCAGAAAGTTAGGCATTCATTTGAAATAATAAACCTAAATTAGTCACATTTTTTCCATCTGAAGTTGTCTAGACTACAAATTTTCTATCTGGAGGCAGTGGAAGATCGTTGGAAGAGTAAGATTTGGCTATCTAGGCCTGGATTATTGTTCATCTGTGTGTGGTTTGGATGAGATCATTTACTCAGTTATACATGCTATTCTGAAACTCTCACACATGCTGGAATGTTCAGCTCCCTGACTTAAGTCTTATAATGGAATGATTGAGGGATGTCTATGATATAGCCAATACCAGCACTGGGTTATTTTGAGACTATTACTCTGATTTAAAACACTCAATTGTTGGTCCTCCCTGGTGGCCTAGGGGTTGAGTCTCAGCGCAGTACCACTGCAGCCTGGGTTTGATCCTCAGCCAGGAAGCTGACCCACATAGGCGCAGCAGACCTCTCCTTTCTTACCGTTACTCCCCTTAGCAGTGTTTCAGTAAACCCACCTGTTATGCTTCTCCTTCATTCTCTGGTGAATCCTCTCATCCACAGCACCTCTAGCCTACACTCCAGTTCTTCTATGCAAAAAATTAAAAAAACACTCAATTGTTAAGTAGATCATACAACTTTTCTCGTGAAGATAGAGGAATATCAAGATCATGAAGATATAGGAATATTTTATTCATGAAATAGGATTTCAGGGTTTGGTTTCTTTTCTATTCTTAGTCATGTTTAAGTCCTCCACTAATCTTTAATTAATCTAACCTGGCCATGTTTGTATATTTGGTAATGTCAAAGATAAAATATGAATGTGTCAACATTTTAGACAAATATGAATTACTTTCTATTAAGCCATGCTTTACTGCCTTTTCATGTGGCATGACGTTTTGAGAACTTTTGCAAACTGTAACCTGATTTTTAAAAGGTGTGTGTGTGTATAATTTTATCTAAAAACATCACTCACCACAGCTGTTTACTAAAGGCAGAGTCAGTGATCAAATGATTTTTGATTGAATTGTATGGACTTATTTTTTCATTGAGGTAAAATTCACATACCATAAAAATCCACAATTTTAGCCATTTTAAGTGTGCAATTCAGTGCCTCTTAGTATGTTCACAATGTTGTGCAGCCATCACCAATAATTCCAGAAATTTTCATGACCCTCCCCCACAAGTTCTTGCTTTAAGAATCACTCTTCAGTCTCTTTTCCCTTAGAGCCCCTTGGAAATCAATAATTTTTCATCTCCATGAATTTTATTCCATGGATTTATCCAGCTACTTCATATAAATGGAATCATACAATGTATGATCTTTTGTGTCTGTTTTCTTCTTCATTAGCGTGTTTTCAAGGTTCATCCATGTTGTAGTAGGTATCCATGCTTCATTCATTATATGGTTCTTTCACATTGTGTTTATTCATTAGCTGAGGGACATATGTCTTGTTTCTACTTTTTGGCCACTATGAACTTTTATATACAAGTATCTGAATACCTGTTTTCAATTGTCTTGAAGATTATCTGTCAGTCAGTCAGTCATCTACCTACCTAGCTTGCTGGGTCATAGGGTACCTATGTTTAACTTTTTGAGAAAGCAGGGAGACAGGAGAGGTCTGCTGCACCATGTGGGTTAGCTCCCTGGCCAGGAATTGAACTCATGCTGCAGTGGCTGCCAATAGCTTGATAGTGCTGAGAACCCCTTGTGCCACCAGGGAGGCCCCATTTTGAATATTTATATGTTGTAAGAGTCCCATACTTTATTCTCTTGCATGCGGTTATCTTGTTGTCTCAGCGCCGTTTGTTTAAAAGAAACTATTCTTTCCCCACTGATCTTGGTAGTCTTGTGTCTTCCTGGATTATGATTTAACAAATAAAAATATAACCAAATAGTTGCTCTAGAAATGGAAAATACAACAGCTGAGGAAAGAACTGAAAGAGAAGTCATAATATTCAGAACTGAAGTTACTGATGCATGGATTTAAGAATCCTAAATAAAATAAAAAGATATCTACATCTAGACACACCTTAGCACAGAGCAAGCAAGATTAATCCTAAAGTAATTGTTAACAGAGTGTGATGCATTAATTTATGGTGTTAATTATATTACTACTCTTGTATGTGTCTAAAATTGGCATGAAAGTGTTTCAAGAGTATGGGTGAAATAATTATTTTTCTTACAGGAACCTAAGTTTGCCACCTAAGAAACAGGTTCTGTTTAAGTAATGCTCTTTTATGGTCTCTGGGCCCTGTTATGTGTTACCTTTGGGGTCAGAGAACACAGCTTTACTGGTATCATTTCAGGTTGGAGTATGGTATTAAAAGAATCTACATATGGGCCTCCCTGGTGTTGCAGGTGTTAAAGTCTCAGTGCTATCAAGCTATGGGCAGCCACTGCGCAGGAGTTTCAACCAACCACCAGGGAACTAAACCGCATGGCACAGCAGACCTCTCCTGTCTCACCTGCTGCTCCCCTCAGCAGTGTATCTCAGTAGATCCGCCTGTTTTGCTCCCCACTCTGTCTCTGGTGCAACACGCACCTCTGGCCTACAGCCCAGTTCTTGTATGCATAAATAAATAAAAAATGTATCTTTTTAAAAAAGAGAAGAATCTACATCTCTGATCTGTAAATGTCTATAACATGGCTATTACTATACTATTTTGAATTTAAATAAACTATCAAAGATCAGAGACAATAATCACGGAAGAATTTCACTTCTATGAAATGGTTAGGCTTTAGCAAAGTGGGAATCCAGACCTCAGAAGTCTGGCTACATTAGAAGTCAGATACTGTATTAGGAAATTTTTAGGGACTACTGACAGATCCATTTCTGAAAATTCAGGATTACTTGACCCTAATAAACTCCTGGGAGAATTGCAAAGAATGGCAACAGCAAACTCATATCATTTGGAACCAAAAATGTTAATACATTGATGAGGCAATAAATGATAGCAAGTTCCTTTATTCCAGAAGTATTTTAATACAATTGTAGTACAGTTATGAAAGTCATCTTCAATTCACTGAATATATTCAAGGTATTAATAAAAATATTATACATCTTTTCTCACTATTATAATTAAAGTATTTGGTTCTTATAGGTGAGACTAATTGCCATATTCATTTTTGCACGTGCTAGTCAGTGTGTAAATAAACCTATGGATTATGGTAGTAGGGCTTTAGATCCTTTTGAAGTCTAAATATCAAAATTATGTTTTCTTTTTTAAATGCTGCAATTTAAATCCTAGGAAGAACAGTCAATCAATTTAAGGCAAGATATTATAACTTTTATACAACTTTAATTTGAAAATATAAAATACTTCATCAAAGATCACACATGCCTTAACATTTAGATACTTATAGATTCATATAAAGGCAGATAAAAACATCAGTGCAAGTTCTACACTGGGCTCCTCAGTAAAGAAAACAGGTTCTTGGAGTAAACCATTATTTTCAAATCCCAAAACACTGGCAAGAGGAAAGAATTCTTATGATGCAGGACTTACACAACATTATTATTTACTTGATAAAGGCAGGTATAAAAACATTGTGACTATACATAAAAACTAGTGTCTTGGCCAGTTTTTTTAAACTTTTGTTTCAGATTTATCTTAAAGTAAGCCTTAAAAAAATGTTTTAAAAAACCAACTGATTTAAAATCTGTTGATAGCTGTAGTGCAAAGATGCGCCTTTGTCTCCCCTCCCCCCTTTTTTGGTAAGGGCTGAAATTATCATTTCACAAATAACATTATTAAAATATATGTAAAATGTGTACATGTGTATTTTTAATGACCAAAGAAGGCACAAAATGAGTTAAATTAGGGGAAAACATTACCACTTGTTTTGAACTCTGGTTAAGTGTATATGGCATTAATCATATATACTTTTTTTTTTTTTTGGTGGGACCCTCGCCGGTGGCCAGGGATCGAACTGGCGCTGCAGAGCCTGTGGGCAGCCTCGCAACCCAGCGCTCAACCGCTGCGCCACCAGGGGGGGCCCTAATCATATATACTTTTAAATAAGAGTCCAGATTTCTTATAATTGAAGTGATAAATTTTCTAGCTCTACTATTTGTGCTAAAAAACACTGCTGTAACAGACTACCTGTAGGCAGTATACATTGAATCCAATTAACAATGACCTTTTCCCAAGATAGTACTTTAAAAAAAAATTTTTTTTTAAACAGTGGCTAAGTGACAATTCATGGAATGGAATTAGGTCTCAAAATCTTAAGTGAAAATATCTAGTACTTCTTTACATATGCAATACTACTTATATTCTTTAAGAAAAATGTTAACCGTATGTGGAAAAAGCAAACAGTGGTGCTTTGATCTGCATTTTAATTAACTTATTAAATAAACAACACATTTTAACAACAACAAAAAAGACATTCATATATCATACTGAAGGGGTTTCCTACAAATGGACCATTAGTGTTAGGCACCAAAAATTTCAAGTTTTTTTTTAACCTGTCCCATAGATACCTTATCAACTCTTCTATTTCATCTCTGCAGGCATCACCATTTACATTAAACATTTGCACAGTTCATAAAAATTCTATTCTGGGCAACTTATTTAGAGATTGTCTTTTCTCTCTTGGTATTCTTCACTGCATGTTTTGTCAGTTATCTCACAGCAACTAATAGCTACAATCTCTATTTCCATTTAAAAAGTGTCTGGCTTTCTACTTGAACCATGAGGTTTATATTTACATATTTATCCAAACTAAACACTAAATTCCATGTAAAGCTGAATGACTAATAAAAATTGAAACTTATTCTTAATGGTAACTGTCGAATAACTTTAATCATGTCCCTTACGATTCTGAATCACATTATATTAAGGAAAGTAGTTCATGTAAATGTACAATGTTTACAAATGTAAGTATGACAGCTTATAACACAAACTTTACCATGAAAGTCTACATTAAAATTCAATCTGGACCCTAGAATTCTTGTCCTGTGCCTCTTGTGAAGATCTTCCCTACACAAGGATTTCTTTTTGCAAACAGGAATGGGCACATGGCTGAATACTTTTCACTTGTTTAATGAAGGAGTGGAGTACAATATATGAAGATGAAATTACCAAACTTCAACTCACACTCCTGGGAATAATGTAGGGTTATAATGGAATGATGGAAATTAGTGTACAGCTACATCTCATTCAGTTACTGGACAACAAAAACAGATCAAATGGCTGTTTAACTGATTCTTTTATCAGAAGCAGAGAAATGATCTTCCTGTGAGAAAAACATTAGTAAGTATACATAATTTCTTGTATTTAGTAAGTTGAAAGTGAGTCAAAACTATCTACTAATTATTTTTAAAGTCAGGGGAAAATAACAGAATGAAGTGCCAGGGAAGCATATGAAGTTAAGGCACCATTATTTACAACTTCAGTGACTGGCACTTATTCTGAAAAAAAGCTTTAAAAACATGAATGATACAAAGCAGTATTATTTTTCCCTAATTCTATAAACTACTTAGTAGTTCTTAACATAGCTACCTAGTTTTTGTGCTTTGCTTTCTGCCCTTTGAATAGCAGCTATATTTTATGGTAACATCCTGTAGCTTTCCTTTCCTTTGGTGTTTGCAAACATACACAGTGGTGAAGGCTATAAAGTGTGCACAACAGGAAAGCAAACATGCTGTGTCTATCTAACACAGTATTATCAGACCAAACTAAAGCTATCGTTCTGAATTACTCAAGAAATGATTAAACCCTTCACCAATGCAATCTTTTCTAGGACTTGTTATATATTAACCCTTTGCACTCCGCTGTCCCCTCTCAGGGGACATCGGAATTCTAGCATATCACTCGGATGTCCCCTCTCAGGGGACATTGCAATTTATTAGTGATTACGGGGAACTGAGGTTATTTCAATGCAACTTTTTGAGACATGCATGTTTCCCTGAAGTTTTATTTTGAAATGGCACAAGAAATTAAATCAAAATATCATAAAATGGTTTGGAGTGCAAAGGGTTAAGTTTAGAATTTATAGCATTCTCTATAATGACTTTAAAATAGCAATGGCTTTAGGAAATTCATAAAAGTTAGTTATGTGACTGTTGGTCCAACAGATGTATTTAAAGGCAGCAAGTACACTTTATAATTTCTATCCAAGTATAAAAATACTATACAAAGTTCACAAGGGTAGACGGGTACACATGTTTATAATTATTCTTGATTCCAAAACTCAGAAATTTACTACCTTACAAATAGGTTGCTGCAGCCAGCTGATACCATTTAACCGTCTCTTTGCTCAAGTTGAAATCTTTCAAAGGCAGGGTTATTCCACCCAAGAAAAAGTTTTCCCGCAGAGATTCTGCACTGAGTACACTTAGTTGAAGTTCTCTTTTTCTTAGAGTTTCTTTGCTATAGCCACTGTACACAAGCTACAACAAAGGCAAAAACAAAAAGTTATAGATTATTTTTTGGTTTCTTAGATTATTTTAAGAGAAAATGTGAGACTTATTAGAGTGACTGATTATTGACACGGATGATGACACACCTAGTGGAATTTGTCTCATATTTTATTTATTTATTTATTTAAAGATTTATTTATTTATGTATACAAGAACTGGGACACAGGCCATAGATACAGGGGGTGGAGGATTCACCAGGGACAGAAATGGGGAACAGAACAGGTGGATCTACTGAAATACACTGCTGAGGGGAGCAAAGGGCGAGTCAGGAGAGGTCAGCTGTGCCATGTGGGTCAGCTCCCTGGCTGGGGTTCGAACTCATGCTTCAATGGCTGCGAATAGCTTCATAGGTTGTGTCTTAACCCTTTGTGCCACCAAGGAGACCCTGTCACATATTTTAGTTCTAAATTTTTTATTTCAGGAGTCCAGGGCTATTACTCCTCTAAATATCTGACATTAAGAATATACAGTGAATATAATCTGACATTAAGAATATACTGCCCCAGTGGCGCAGCGGTTGAGCGCTGGGTTGCGAAGCTGCCCGCAGCCTCTGCAGTGCCAGTTTGATCCCTGGCTGCTCTCCGGCCACTGGAGGAGGGTCCCACATGGCGGGCAGACCTCTCCTGCCGCCCGCTGCTCCCCTCAGCAGTGTACTTCGGTCCTTCTGCCTGCCCTGCTCCCCGCTCTGGCTCTGGTGAATTCTCTCACCCTCCCGCGCTTCTGACTATACCCAGTGCTTGTATAAATAAATAAATAAATCTAAAAAAAAGGGGGGGGGGGGAGAACCAATGTTTAAAAAAAAAAGAATATACAAAGTAAATTACTATTGGCTAAAACAAAAAATACAGTTTTTCTGAGATGGAGATACAGGGCAACTGAAAAGAAACTACATAGTGGCAAGCCTTAGAAATGATCTAATAGCTGGATGAAAGAGATGAAGGAATGAAGATGGAATACCATAATTACAATTGTTTTACCAAAAAATGAGATAGAATATTTTTTGTTTTTTTTCTGTTGTATTTCATATATAGTGAAACAAATCATGATTATCCACAATTCAGTGCAAATTCACCAGTTACAAATGTAGCTTACAGCATTTGGAATGTTAAAAGGCTACTACTGTCTTTCAAACACATCACATGCAATGCTTAGCTTTCTTTTTCTCCCAAGAAAAGCTTACTATTATTTCTGCGAAATACCTCCTTAAGTCAATCCTTTCACTCTGAGTATAAGAACTAAAAAAGTGGGCCTCCCCGGTGGCGCTGCAGTTGAGCGCTGGGTTGCGAAGCTGCCCGCAGCCTCCGCAACGCTGGTTTGATCCCCGGCTGCTCCCCGGCCACCGAAGGAGGGTCCCACATGGCATGCAGACCTCTCCTGCCTCCCGCAGCTCCCCCCAGCAGTGTACTTTGGTCCTTCTGCCTGCTCTGCTCCCCGCTTTGGCTCTGGTGAATTCTCTCACCCTCCCGCGCTTCTGACTGTACCCAATGCTTGTATAAATAAATAAATAAATCTTTTAAAAAAAAAACTAAAAAAGTAACATTTCACTTTCTTTAAAATAACCTTACTAAAATAAAAGTAAATACTACTTTTTGAGCATAATATCAACTGGTCACCACCAAACATATTAAAGGCTTACAAAGGTGTGAAAGGATACTCCACAGCTTTAATAAGTTTATATAGCCTTAATGAAAATTCAGAAATTTTTGCTTCCAATCTCCATCCATATATTTTTGTGTGGATATAATGTTAATGTACACAAGTAATATAATGTTTATCCTAAAGAAGTAGTGGACTAAGGAATACTGGATTTTAAACATCAGTAAATTTATAGGTTGACCACTGGTTATAAGTTTGTAAGTTCTACAATGTTGAGCTGATCTTTGCTTACTACTTTCAGTTTCAGGTACCTTAAAGAGGTTTGCTGACAGACTAAAATACATTAGAAGTATGAATTTTTTTGTTTGTTTGTTTTGTTTTTTTTCTTCCTGCTACTGGCTTTTGGTTGTTGTTGTTCTTCTTTTTTTAAAGATTTATTTATTTATTTATACAAGCACTGGGTACAGTCAGAAGCGTGGGAGGGTGAGAGAATTCACCAGAGCCAGAGTGGGGAGCAGAGCAGGCAGAAGGACCAAAGTACACTGCTGAGGGGAGCAGCGGGCGGCAGGAGAGGTCTGCACGCCATGTGGGACCCTCTTCCAGAGGCTGATATCCAACATTTTGAAAATGTTGTAGTGGGGGTTCAAGCATTAAAAGGGGAACTAAAACCAAAGTCTTATGATTGAGGGTTCAATTTTGCAACTGATTGAGATTTGCTTTATTAGCATGCTAGATAGTTCGGCAACAACTAAAAATTTTAAATTCAAAGTGTTCAATATTTAAAATCTCAAAACAAATCAGAAAATGTTAGAAATGATTTTAACTTACCATTTCATTGAATGTTGGATTCCTAGTTTTTCGTGTAATTTTGGTTTTACGTTTGGATGTCTTGTGGGTATCTGGAAGTAGATATGTTTTGACATATGGATTTGGGTCAGCTCCATCTTCAGTAACCTATAAAAAAAAGCAGTCCCTTAACAGTAATCTTCCTACTAAGGAATAGGTTTCCTCTACAATCATGATTATTTGTAATCACTCACAAGATCTTTGATGTGCATCACCATGATGAAAAGAGTTCCATTTCGGTAAGAGACAGATAATTTCACTGCTCCCCCTATTTGGCCTGGAGTAGGACTGAAGAGACCTGTATCTGAAAAATACACATATGCTGTCTTTATTTTATCTTGCAATGGTTCAAGCTGTAACAAAATAATTCTGCTTGAATTCTAGGACCACAACAAGTGGGGGTGAGAGTGATGGGGGAGGTAAAGATACTGACAGGCCACGGATATATACTTCTTTAGTTGGTACACTCTATTAGGAAAATTAAATTTATCCAGAAATACACTGGCTAAGAAAGAATATCTTCCTCTCATTCTCACTGAACTATAGCCAATAACCTGCCAGTTTACCATAGCCACTGAGAAATTACAGACTTGCAGATCATAAGGAAGTCATGAATTATCAATAAAGAGAAAAAAATAATCTCACCTGCAGACCTAGCTATTCCTTCAGCTTTCTCATCACGAAGTAAAGGATGGAAAAAAGTACAAACAAGATCGCACTGAGAAAAAAAAAGAGATTCATTAACTTAAATATTATGTAGCCTGAAAGACAGTATGCTATTATTTTTCAGTCATGACAGTCACCTCTGCTACATCTGTTGAAGCATTCATCAAACTCTGTAGATAACTGTTTAACTCAATTTTTCTTTTGGCTGCTACATCTTTTATGTTTGTTCTTCCTAGAACCATCCTATTAGGAAAGCTGAAAAAGAAAAATAAACAATAAAAAGAGTGGAATTAAATTATTTCATCAGGAAGACTAAATACATAGAAATACACATTTTTATTCACTTACACTACAAACTGCATTCTTAAATCCACTATAAAGGAAATTTTTATGATTTCCAAGTACTGGTGATAAAGTAGTTCAAGTATCACCATTTTATTAACCTTTGTAAAAAAAGGTACATGGTTTTGATAAGTTGCTATATTTATTTTCTAATAATATAATTATTTCCTTTCAAGACTAATCATTCACAAAAAATAGATGCATATCTGTTCCCCCAAAAAGAATCATGACCCAATTAGCAAAAGCCTGCAGACACCAGTAAAATTCAAAGTCTAAACAGGTAACTTTAACTATGCTTATTTTGGTGGCAATAGAAAAATGAGATTGCACATGGAAAAAAACTGATAGTCATTTTACTGTTTCCTTTTGAAATCTAATCTCACAAGAATATGAATAATTTGACAAAAAAACTGCTGGTCATTAGTTATGTTAAAACTGAGGGTTTCTAAAGGGTATGAGATACAAAATAAGCACTAAAATTTTGATAAAGTCTGAATGATAAGTTTGCCTCTACTTGTTTTTCAGAGGAGCTCAGTACAAACATAATAGATTATTTTGGCAGTGATTTAAAATCTGACTTTTTAAAACCAAGATTCTAAATTATTATTTTGTTTTGTTTACTACAGTAGAGACAACAAATTTTAAAATCTTGATCATTTAATTCATTGTTTATTCATCCAGCGAACGCACACATAGTTCCTTGTCTATTGCTATGTCTGGTACTGCATTAGGTCCTTGGAATACAAAGGAAAATAAGTCATATGTGATTGACAGACTCTTTTGGTGCTAATACAAATTTTTGACTTAAATTTTATAATAAAGAAAGGGTTTCCTACAAGTAAGGATTATTTTACAAGGCTAGGAACATACCCTGGTAACTTCCAAAGTGGAAAAATAATACTGAGCTTATTGTGAAGTTCCTGAAACTCGTCAAATGTCCGGAAGACAAATGATGGTTCAAGCTGTCCTTCCCTCAAAATTCGGACTACATAAATCTGAAAAGAAATCATACCCCAAACACATTACATTTATAATAAAATCTCCTTTCCTGACAGAAAGAAAATTTATGGCTTGACTGTTATAAGTAGTCCAAGGGCTTTTAACTTGGTAGTGTATATGTCACTAACAGGAAATAGCAAATATAACCGCCATTGTATTTATAGCACATCTAACTCTATCCTGAGAGTAATAATAAACATTGTAAGATATATGAACAAGAACTGGAAAGTGAAAATCATATTATTTCCAGAATTAAATTTACTTCCCCAATCAATAAACTTAGTGCATTCCAATGAAAATATTCACAAATAATTTAAGAGTGTTAAGTGGGAAAAAGGCAAAATATATGGTAGCAGGGGGATAAGGGAAAAGTTTTCTTAGTGGACATTTAACTATTATAAAATCACAGTACTTGGGGCCTCCCTGGTGGCGCAAGGGGTTAAGCATCGCACTATGAAGCAACCCGCCGCCTCTGCAGCACAAGTTAGATCCCCGGCCAGGGAGCAACCCTCAAGGCCAGGCAGACCTCTCCTGTCTTGCCCGCTGCTCCCCTCAGCAGTGTATTTCAGTCAGTCTGCCTGTTCTGTTCCCCACTCTGTCTCTGGTGAATCCTCTCACCCCCCCCGCCTCTCTGGCCTTGTACCCCAGCGCTTGTATGCATAAATAAATCAATCCTTAAAAAAATAAAATAAAATAAAATCACAATACCTTAAGGAATAAAATACTGGTACAGAAAGAGATATATCTAAAGAAGACCAGGAAAAAATTCAAGTATACATACAAGCTTAGTATAGTTAAAGCTGGCATTACAAATCACTGGGGGAAGGAATGGACTAATCAGTGAAATGGTGTTAGGAAAAAATACTCAATATAACATTAAAAAATTTACCAATAATAAGATAACAGGTAAAAATTAAAATAATACTATAGTCACCTTCAAAATTTATCAATTTGTCAAAAATTTAAATACTAACAGTGTTGGCAAGTATTAGCCAACAAAACTAATAGCAAATGGTGCACAATAACAGCAAAAGGACTATAATGCTATGCTATTTATTTATTTATTTTTTTCTAAAGATTTATTTTTATTTATTTACATAAGCACTGGGTACAGTCAGAAGCGCGGGAGGGTGAGAGAATTCACCAAGCCAGAACAGGGAGCAGAGCAGGCAGAAGGACCCAAGTACACTGCTGAGGGGAGCAGCGGGCGGCAGGAGAGGTCTGCGCGCCATGTGGGAACCTCCTCCAGTGGCCGGGGAGCTGCCTGGGATCGAACCAGCGCTGCAGAGGCTGCGGGCAGCTTCGCAACCCAGCGCTCAACCGCTGCGCCACTGGGGAGGCCCTATGCTATTTATTGAGGGGGAAAATACACACTGAAGATCCTGTTTTTGTTCAAAAACAAACTTTATATCTGTGTGTTACAATATTTTATGGAGTGACATGAAAATTTGAGACTTTTACTTCACATGCTTCTATGTTGAATTTGTTACAATGTGTAAGTTTTACCTTTAAAATTAAGAACAAATTCAAAAACGGAAGATAAAGGAAAACAGAAGAATAGCACTAGCCTTTTAAGCCTTGTCTCTAAAAGGAAGAATATCACATGGCCCCCCCATGGTTTTGAAGCAATTTTATCAAGAAACAAATACCACACCCTCCTCCAATATTAGAAATGCTCCAAGTATGCTTATTTATTTTTGGGCCAGCCACAGAAGAAATAAGTATGAATAAAATAAATGTAAATTTAGGAAAGTCAGCAAAGAAGTATGACAGGATAATAGTAATGCATGCAGGAGTACGCAACTATTGAAACCCAACTTACATAATGTTTATCTGGATTGTATTTCTTATGATAAGTGAAAACAGAGACTTCCTTAATTCGACCATCTTGTCTAAAGGAATATGTTTTGGGTGAAAATGAAAGGATGGGCTCATCATTGGAAGGAAGACCAGAAAATCGCAGTTGAGCAAGGTTGTGAATGAAGAAGTTAAACTTTGTGGCAATGCTTCCCAAACTTGATTCAATCAGCCTACAAAATAATCAGAAAATGTGTTAACATGTGAATTTTCAGAACACACTATTTTTTAGTTTTATTTATTTATTTATTTATTCATTTAATATTCTTTTTTAAATTTTATTTTTATATTCCCCATACAATTGCAACCCCCTTATTTTGAACACATAATTTTTTTTAACATTGTAAAAGATGAAAACCATTTTTATAGCTTTTAAAATATTAAGCAGATTCTCATTTTGCCAAGGATTCCTTTTGTCTGTAAGGCAAAAAAACTCATAAAAATATAAAAAAATTTTTGCACAAGAAAGTCTCCATTTCATCCCACTGTTCTCAAGAAATGATGCTTGGTTTTCTTGAGTTCTATGGTATCCAAGACTAATTAAAATTACTAGGTGGGTCCTTCCTGGTGGTGCAGGAGTTAAGTCTCAGCACTATCAAGCTATCGCCAGCAACTGCAGCATGAGTTCGATCCCCAGCCAGAGAGCTACCCTACATGGTGCAGCAGACCTCTCCTGTCTCGCCTGTTGTTCCTCTTCAGCAGTTATTTCAGTAGATCTGCCTGTTCTGCTCCGCACTCTGCCTCTGGTGAATCCTCTCACCCTCCACACCTCTGGCCTATACCCCAGGTTCTTGTATACATAAATAAAAATAAATCTTAAAAAAAATTACTAGGGATGGAGGGAGGATGATTGGTATAATGCCAGAAAGAGGATTTCATTATTTTATTCCCTTGTAAATAATGGGAACGGTGGCAACTAAACAGGTAAAGAAGGAAACAACCAAAATCCAAATTAAAAAGCATCTTTACTATCACAATACTATCAATAGAATCTGTTATCAGATTCCTTCTTCAGATAATCATAATTTGACTAAGTTGGAAGAATAAATTTTGATGGGATGAGGAGTTTGGTAGAAACAAATTGGAAAGGAAACCAGGAAAAACAAGCATTTTAAGCAAGCAAAGAAAACAAGAAATCTCAGAAACAAGAAAAGGAATGTAGAAAGGAGAATCAAAAAGGATGTGACTGAGCCTCACATACTCCTCTATTTTGGTATGGATTGAATTTTTTTGTCCTTTCTGCTTCTTCCCATTCAGGTGTTGAAATTTCAACCCTGTAGGGCCTTTATGGAGGTAGTGTTTCAATGGCAGAGCCTTAATCCAATAAGATTAGTGTCTTTATTTGAAGAGGAGAAAGCTTAAGCTTTCTCTCTTCCCCTCTCTCCTTCATTTGAGGAAACAGCAAGAAGGCATGTCTGCAAGCTAGCATCCTCACCAGGAAGTGAATCAGCTAGTACTTCATCTTGGACCTCCCAGCCTCTAAGAACGATGAGAAAATAAGTTTCTGCTGATTATGCGATCTTCAATGTGATATTTTTCTATGGCAGCCCAAGCAGACTAATACATGCCTGCTTTTACAGTTGTGCCCAAGGGAGCCAATGAATCTCTTATAAAAGACAAAACAAAACCCATCAATACCTAAATTATCAGGATTAGTTTGGAAGGCTATACAAAAGCCAGCTTCCTTCAATTCAATTCAGCCCAGACTCTTGAGACTAGGGAAGTCCAGTCCAGTGTTTTCTACCTCTTCTCCACTGAGAGGAAGAAGGCAAGAGAGAAAGGAGAGAAAAGAACATGAGCTCATGTGCCCCTCCCTGCTGTGGCATTATAAAGATGTGGTACCACTAGTCAGTGACCAACCTAGTCATCAGACCTTTATCTATTTTTTAAATTTACATATATTTTATATCATTGTTCTTTTTTTTAGAATGTTTGCTTTATCAGTGGTAGTCTCCAAAGAATTTCCACCACCAGTTCACCTGTGCACTATTACCATAGTCCCTTGTGTTCCTCCCTCCCTGATTTTGATCCCTCTCCCTCCCCTTCCCCTGCAGAATGTCTTTGATTTATAGTTGTCTGTTTATTTTTGCTTTTTTTAATTATTTTTTTCCCCTAATGCCTTATTTGGTTTGCCTATATTCCTCCTATAAGTGAAACCATCTGATATTTTTCTTTATCCTCTGACTTATTTCACTGAGCATAATCCCTTCTAGCTCCATCCAAGTTGCTGCAAATGACATTAGTTATTCTTTTTTGATTGCTGAATAGTATTCCATTGTGTATATACACCACATCTTCTTGATCCAGTCATCTACTTTTGGGCATTTGGGTTATTTCCAAGTCTTTCCTATTATAAATAGTGCCGCAATAAACATAGGGGTACAGGTATTCTTTTGAATTAGTGTTTTTGTGTCCTTTGGGTATATCCCTAGTAGTGGGATTGCTGGGTCATATGATAACTCCATTTTTAGTAGTCTCATCAGACCTTTATAATGTATTTATCAGAAGATCTGATTTTAAAGCAATGATGACATTCAAATTCCAGTCATTGGTCATGTGTTTCAAGTACTACATCAGATAATAACAATTTACTATAGCAGTAAACCAGGTTTGCTATTTTTAAGCTATTTAAGGTACCTTGAAAATTGCTATGGCAGAATTCTGAAAATAGATTAGTATAAATATCCTTTTTAGAAAAAAAACTCTGTATTTGGCACTGCAGGAACAGTTCATAAATAAGATTTTTGTAATTGAAATCACTTACAAATAAAACGAGATCATTTTTTATAGATTTTACTTTTTAGAAAAGTTTTAGGTTCAAAGAAAAAATGAGCAGAAAGCACAAAGAGTTCCCCTATACTCCCTTCTCCTACATGTGCCTAACTTCCCCCATGTATCCATACCAGACAACTTGAGGCAGCATGTTTGTCACAATTAGTGACCTACACTGACATAGCATTAGCATCCAAATCCAAAACTTACATTAGGCTTCACTCTTGGTGCTATACATTCTATGGGTATTGACAACTGTAGAATGACATGTATCTACCATTGTAAAATCATACCAAGTAATTTCACTGCTCTGAAAATCCTCTGTGCTCTGTCCTCCTTTCCCTCAACCCCTGTTAACCACTGATACCTTCATTGTCTCCAGAGCTTTGCTTTTTCCAGAATGTCCTATAGTTAGAATCATTCAGTAGGTAGCTCTTCCAGATAGGCATCACTCATTTAGTAATGTATGTTTACATATCATGGTTTGATAACTCATTTCTATCACATGTAATTTTTTTCCTGGCTTCAAATGTCTTATTTATTTATTTTACACATACACACACATATTTTGAAGTAACAATGGTTTACAACACCATATGTAATTTGGGGCATACGTTCAAACCTCTTCAAGATGTATGTTAGGACACCATGCCCATCCTCAAAACACTCAATCCCTTGGGATCATGTTTTGAGATAAATGTGTTTTGTAAGGTACAATTCCACGTCCTTTACATTTATTCAGTAGATAAATTCTGACAACCCATTATTTTTAATCAATCTTTTCCTGCAAATCAGAACTACATTATATTTGTTTAAACTAAGGAAAGCTTAACTGTACATGCTGTTTCTAATATATTTAATTATGCCTTACCTAGTGAAGAAAATTGTAGCTTCTGCATCTGTAGTTTGTGGTTGAAGTGCATCTCTAACATATTTTAAATCTTGAATGCTTGTAAGTTCTGGTAGCCCTGAAGGAATCATCTACAGAAAGGGAATAAAAGTTTGTGAGTTAAATTTTTAAAAAGTCTATTCCCCAACCATCCCTAAAAGCTGGTTAAGTAATCAGATAATCAAAACTAAAGCAAATAAAAACGACAATTTAAGAAACACCAGTTGGAGGAGTCTGTTAGTTTTAGCGAACTAAGTAATTCTTTTATAAATAAGAAAATCGTATCCAACAAAGTCAATTGTTGGAAATCACAAATGCAGCTTATGGAATAAAAGCTAAAACCAAGACATTTTGTATAGCTCTTAATTTTATATCAACTTCAGTCACAATAAGCAATGTGAGTTTGTTTTTACTTTTTATTTAATTTATAGCCAAAAAAGTACAGATTAAGCGCATAGCTTAATGAATGCCCACAACCCAAAGACTTCCAGATTAAGACACAAAACGCTGACCAGCATCCCAGATGACCTCCTCAGGCTCCATTTTAGTTACTCCTCACCTCATGGTAACCACTCTAATGGCCTGTTTTTTCTATCATATGTAAGTGGAGTTGCATATTTCATATAATAGCATTTTAAAAAATATTTTTGTGGTAATATATTTGACATTGGAACTACAGTAAATTTTATTCCCAAGTTCCAAAGGAATTTTAAAATAATGAAACAGAAACATTAATCATATACTTGTAAAGAATAGTTACCGGGCCTCCCTGGTGGCGCAGCGGTTGAGCGCTGGGTTGCGAAGCTGCCCGCAGCCTCTGCAGGGCCGGTTCGATCCCCGGCTGCTCCCCCGCCACCGGAGGAGGGTCCCACATGGCGCGCAGACCTCTCCTGCCGCCCGCTGCTCCCCTCAGCAGTGTACTTCGGTCCTTCTGCCTGCTCTGCTCCCCGCTCTGGCTCTGGTGAATTCTCTCACCCTCCCGCGCTTCTGACTGTACCCAGTGCTTGTATGTATGTATGTATAAATCAATCAATCAATCAATAAATAAATCTTTAAAAAAAAAGAATAGTTACCAGTGAAAGGAGGTTGAGAAAGAGGTTTGTCTGCTTTCTTATCAAGTTGTAGGCCTGACAGCAGAGGTCTACAAACAATTGAAATCGGATGGTGGGCCTTTCACCTCCATTAATGACATATGCCATATCAGAGGTCAGCACAAAAGGAGCCCGATCCCTATGTAAAAAGAAGGTACATACATACAAAGTATTATTTACATAAGGTATTCAAACAGTGTTACTGCTATTACATAGTTATTGAATCAAACTACCTAAGTCATAGCAATTTCCAAGTGGGAAACTTAATTTCAGAGTTTTGAATTTTCATATTTCTTAAAAATTAATGTTTTCAGGAAAGGTATCAAGTAATATCATTACTTAGATCTTATTTATGTATGATTTTTTTTTCCCCTCCAAGGTGAAACTTTTAAAATCCATACACCCAGAGATCAAACTGTCAGTGCAAACATAACACAGAGAAAAATTTTGTACCCACTGCCACTAAACAAATGGGAACATTTTTAATGGGTACCATTAGAAAAATACACCTTAATTAATTTCAACAAAGGACATAGGCTGCACATACAAATCTTTTCTATTACATGGTAAAGTAACCTCTGAGGGTCTTTTTCATCCCCAGTTATGCTCAAAGAAAGTTAAAAGACAAAGAAAGCAAGAAAAAAAGGCATGGCTTAGGATGTTAATTGGTGAATTAGGAAACACCTTTTCTTTAGCAAGCAGAATACAAGTACCTTTTGAAGCTACCAAACATCTGTGCATGGCCCAAAAATTTTCCAAAGTCAATGTGAAACATGTGTCCTGTGCTTCGAAGCATTATATTGTCATTGTGTCGATCACAGATGCCTAAAACGTAGGTGGCTACACAGCATCCAGCACAAGAATAGATAAAATTCTCAGAAGCCTATAATAATGATATAAACTTTATGAAAAAAATTGTTTAAAGGAAGCATGGTTTACAAAGATAAAAGTAATTCACCACTCTTTATAATTCACTTTCTCAACAGTTTATAAACCAGTCTTTTCATATTTCAAAAACATAGACTCTTTCTTAAAGGTGGTTAATGGCTTTTCTCTCTAGCTTTTGATTTTAACAGGCAGGAACCCCAGTTCCTATCAGGGTACACGCTTCCTGTAAGCATCATGTTTGTGAAATCCTGTTCCTCACATTCTGCTGCTCACCACAAGTAATACTGCAGCAAGCTTATTTGAATAAAAGAGTATTTTCTCCTTTTTTGATAAACATAAGCAAGAATACTTATGGGAAGGCATGTAGGGATAGCATATGTAAAGAAGGTCAGTTTATACCTTTAAATACCCAATAATACAATTTATGTGTCTTGTGGCCCATCTGATGACTCCTCAAGTGTTATCTGTAAGTTTCTCAAAACTGAAGACCTTTTACTTAAGTTACTTGTCCTGGGAATCAAATTATTAACATAATATCATGCATAAGGATACAGCAAGATGCATACAAAGAATATTTTTATCTAAAGTATGTGTATTTAGTTTTTACATCTCCACATAGTCAATTTTAGTTCATAATCCCTCCACAGTTACTACTGATGGCACTTATCACAAACTAGGCATTGCAGTACTCTACACACACACACACACACACACAAAATGCTTACTCACACAAACACACTACATATAATTATGTGACTATATGTATGTATACATTAACGCATTTAAAATCTCACAACAAAGTAATGACATAGGTACTATTATTATGCCATTTTACATATAACAGCAACAAACACAGAGAGGTAATTTGCCCAAAACCACATAAGTGTTAAGTGGAAGAGTCAATATTCAAACTTAGACGATATGACTCTATTATGTTATTATTCCCTTTACTTAGTAAATTACATAAAAAAGAGCCATATGCATAAAAGGACCTCACTATATGTTAGTTGACAATTATTTTGTGTCAAACAACTTAACTGAAATCACAAAAAAAGCTAACATTACTATAAACAAGTATTGGCTTCTGCTCACTGTTTTACCCAACCCACAAAGCAGTAAGAAACAGGAATGATCTTAAACAGGAATGATCTACTCTGCTTTATTTCTTAGGTCAACAGAAAACTCTTTTAAGTGTATCTATAAATATGATACACTAATGATTTTGACATAAAGACAGGAAAATGATACTAAAACAGATCTCAGATCACCATTAAAAACGTTCTTGAGTCTTCCTTAGGTTAATTTAAGCTCATAAGAGGCCTTAAGTCCTATGAGATTTACCTTTCTTTTGATGTAATTCAAAAATATGCTAAAACAAAAACTTGGTTTCTTCAAGAATAATAGTAGTCACCAACAATACAATTTTTTCTATGCAGTACTTTATATATATTCATTTAATTCTTACAATACCATTATTTTTACAGCCATAATACATAATACTATAATATATACTATATATAATATCATGCAGAAGAGGTCACTGAGGTACTGAAAGTTTAAATAATTTGTCCACAGATCAATAGCTGATAAATGACTTGGGACCCAAATTTAAATTAAGAGATTCTGGCCCATAATTTTGCTCTTAAATGCCACATGAAAAGCTGTTTCTATAACTTTCTCCACAATCTTTGTGAAATATAACATTCTAGGTTATAAAAATACATTTCTTTTTGTGGTAAAAAGCATTGGTTTCACTAAAATTTCTGCCGTTGAAAAGTGTTCCTTTTTATACTTTTTTCTTTAGTTGGATGATGCTGTTTTCAAAATGAATAGTCACCAGAGCTGGAAAAGGAAAACACTTAAAACCCATGAAAGACATTTTTGACAGTTATTTAGAATAAGGAGGCATGCTAATCACCTTTTCATATTCCTCCTCAGAGGGATTGTATTTTCTCAACCACTCTGCAAGTGGTTTATCTTTAAAGGATCCTGTCACACCATATTCCACTTGGATTTTCCTGAGGGTATCTGAAGAAGGAACTAGTTCTACCATGCCTGTAACAACAAAACATTGTTATTTGAAAATGTCTCCCAAAAGTCAGGCTTAAAAAAAATTTCTTGCATTCAATGTTTGACATAACATACCAGTTAGCAACTACTATTGGGAAAAAAATCAAGGCTGGAAGTCCAACTTAGAAAATGTTAAAACAACTTTCCATTTTCAGAAGTACCCAAGATGTAAAAATTGAACTTGACTATTTGAGACTCTACAGTATGTAGATCCAATGCTACCAACTAACACCCAGCTCTAAGATAAAACAATTTTAATTGCAAACAAGATGATAATGACCTCATTAACATTTACTTATAAGATATATGCTGTGTCGGGCCTCCCTGGTGGCGCAGCGGTTGAGCGCTGGGTTGCGAAGCTGCCCGCAGCCTCTGCGACGCCGGTTCAATCCCCGGCTGCTCCCCGGCCACAGGAGGAGGGTCCCACATGGCGCGCAGACCTCTCCTGCCGCCCGCTGCTCCCCTCAGCAGTGTACTTCGGTCCTTCTGCCTGCTCTGCTCCCCGCTCTGGCTCTGGTGAATTCTCTCACCCTCCCGCGCTTCTGACTGTACCCAGTGCATGAATAAACAAAAAACAAACAAATAAATAAACATGCCTCTATAAAAAAAAAAAAAAAAAAAAAACAGAGGGAAGAAAATTTAAAAAAAAAAAAAGATATATGCTGTGTCATTAAAAAATCTCTATGTGCTTATATAGAAAGATCTCAAAAATGTGATTTTGAAGACACAATTCAGATGGGACATTGTATCTTTGGATTTATTTATGCGCAAGGGTTAAACACAGCACTGTGAAGCTATCCAAAGTCTGTGTAGCACGAGTTCGATCCCTGGCCGGCCAGGGAGCTACCCACATGGCGCAGTAGACCTCTCCTGTCTCACCCACAGCTCCCCTCAGCAGTGTATTTCAGTTAGTCGGCCTGTTCTGCTCTTCATTCTGTCTCTGGTGAATCCTCTCATCCGCCTCCCCCCATCTCTGGCCTACACCCCAGCTCTTGTATACATAAATAAATTAAAAAAGTATGCAGGGTCAAACTGTAATCTTAGTAGTTTGGTCACATCTGGCAGAATGATTTATTTGGATCTTCTATGCTGTTTTGGTTGCATTCTATAGTTCCTAATTCTCAGTGACTTTCTTTTTAAAAGAATACCTTCTTCTTGATTCTATGACTATACCTAATTAAAAATTAAATATACATATAAATTTCTAATTTCATAATCAAATATACACATGTACACATTGCTTCGAATACACACATGTACACATTGCTTCGTACAAAACAGTAGACCAAAGTTCATAAGATACACAAAGTGCTACTATGTATGGAAGATATGGTCCCCATCCTGAGGGAACTTAAAATCAATACAGTGAGGAAGATATAAAATATGCAGTAAATGTCTGGTAAGAATTTAATAATTGCTGAGTCTGCAAAAGGGAGGTGTTATTACAGACTAAGGTGTACTTGCTAAAAACTATAACATGTGGATCTGATTTCCTCATTTGAAAAATAAAGTACAGTGAGATAATACAACTTGAAAAATGTAGCACAGGGCAAGGCACAAAGTAAGTACTCAACCATTAGTTAGAAACAACATAAAAATGAGGAAGCTGATGGTCTCCAAAGTTACATGGAATTCCATTAGAAGTTCAATAATATGAATTAAGTGTGGTGACAGAAAAACTAATCTAAATGAGGGCCTCCCCGGTGGCGCAGCGGTTGAGCGCTAGGTTGCAAAGCTGCCCACGGCCTCTGCGGCGCCGGTTCGATCCCCGGCTGCTTCCCGGCCACTGGAGGAGGGTCCCACATGGCGCGCAGACCTCTCCTGCTGCCCGCTGCTCCCCTCAGCAGTGTACTTCGGTCCTTCTGCCTGCTCTGCCCCCCCCTCTAGTGAATTCTCTCACCCTCCCACACTTCTGACTGTACTCAGTGCATGTATAAACAAACAAACAAACAAAATAAATAAATAAATAAAAATACATGCCTCTTTAAAAAAAAAAAAACTAATCTAAATGAGATGGAGGCTTTCACTGGAAAATCTTAACTTGATGAAATAACTCCATCTTCTAAGATTTACAGGAAAAACCACCAATAAGAAGTCTTACATTGGGGCCTCCCTGGTGGCGCAAGGGGTTAGGACATGGCCTATGAAGCTATCCACAGCCATAGCAGCACGAGTTCGATCCCCAGGCAGGGAGCTACCCACACGGCTCAGCAGACCTCTCCTGACTCTTCCACTGCTCCCCTCAGCAGTGTGTTTCAGTCAATCTGTCTGTTCTGTTCCCCACTCTGTCTCTGGTGAATCCTCTCACCCCCCACACCTCTGGGTATGCATGGATAAATGAATCTTTAAAAAAAAAAAAAATTCTTAAATTTACCCAATTTCCTTTTTGATAAGATAAAGTTTATACACTCAAATTTGAGAAAGGAAAGTGACAAGGCTTTCATAGTGTTCTTACAGATAAAATATGGAGTGGCTGATAGCACAATGAAGTCAGTGAGTAAGCAAGTAAAATATAGTACTTAAAGATTAAACAATTACTTAAAGGGAGATCTCTGGTGTCATGCTACAGAGTTGGTCATTATAGAATATATGTTCTTCAAATTAGTTTAAAAAACAAACCAAGAGGTTCAATGATAAGTAACAAAAATCAGATTCTTAAAAAGAACTCAAGAGGATAAAAAGTAATGGCTCAAATATAACAAGTAAATTAATGTCTTACATTTAGATCTAAGATACAAAATGTACAAGTATAGAATGGCCAGACATGATTTAGCAGAAGCTAGTATGATGAAGACTTAGTGGTTTTGTCATTAAGTTCCATATTTGTAACACCTGGACACCCTTCTGCATTCTACAAAATCCAGGTGCCATTCTTAGAGACTATGGATCACTTGAGCCCTTTACAGTGAGAACAATGAGGTGATATGGTAACTTAAAATCACATATGACAAATGGTTGAAGAATGTGGATTTTAGGATCGGAGACCACAATACTGGGTATCATGAAGAAGGACTCAATTTAAGTACATGATAGTCCATGAACAGAACTGAAACTAACAGGTAGAAGATACCAGGACTCAGTTCCCACTCACCTGAATTTAAGAAAGAACTATGCAGCTATTAGTTATCCAAGATAGGATGGTTTACCTTGAAATGTGGTGAATTTCCTTCACTGGCATTTTAGGGTAAGGCATTTAAGTATAAATTGAATGGCAAATGTTAGCTGGATGATTAGATAAGATAATCTTTCAAGTAACTTTTTTTTTTTTAAAGATTTGTTTATTTATTTATACAAGCACTGGGTACAGTCAGAGGTGCGGGAGAGGGAGAGAATTCACCAGAGTCAGAGCATGTAACAGAATAGGCAGACTGAGGGGAGCAGCGGGCACAGCAGGAGAGGTCTGCACGCCATGTGGGACCCTCGCCCGCGGCCAGGGATCGAACCGGCACTGCAGAGGCTGCAGGTAGTTTTGCAGCCCAGCACTCAACCGCTGCACCACCAGGGGAGGCCCTCAAGTAACTTCTTAATGTTTATAATTAGAGTAGATGAAGTATTTCTCATTTACACTAAGCATACCGATCTTTCCCCTCTTTAAAACAACACAGTACTGCTTTTATAATTCTCTTAGAGCACTTAACTTATTAAAGTATTTTCTAATTACTTATGTGTATATACATTTTTAATTTCTCTCCTCTAAAATAGAAGCTCTACAAGTCATTAGCGCTTTGCAGATAGAAGATACACAAAAAACATTTGTTGAAAAAGAACAGTGATAATGATTATAACTTATTGTGCAGTTAATATGTGTCAAATACTGGGGTGCTTTACATTTATTAATAAATTTGGTATTATTAAACATGATCTAATATTTCATTTCATTATGTGTATGTATATAATACCATTAACATTCACACAAACATGCAGTAAGAAATGAATATTTACTCAATAAATAATAAGATGAAGTCTGCTCTATTTATTGCCGAAATGAAACCAAAACCAAAACTTAGCTATAACTTTATTTTTTTAAAGATTTACTTTTATTTATCTATGCATATAAGAACTGGGGTGGAGGCCAGAGGGGCAGGGGGTGAGAGAATTCACCAGAGACAGTGTGGGGAGCAGAACAGGTGGACCTACTGAAGAGACAGCGGGCAAGACAAGGAGAAGTCTGCTGCGCCATGTGGGTTAGCTCCCTGGCCAGGGATCGAACTCATGCTACAGTGCAGTGGCTGGCGATAACCTGATAGCGCTGAGACTTTAACCCTTCCCTGGAGGGAGGCCCTATGACTTTAATTTTAAATGACAAACTCTAAAAGGACCAGAGTCCTTATTGAGTCAATTAAAGGATATCTTGTGAAACATCTGTTAGAGCTAACCACTGAGTTATTTAATGGTGAGCAACTGAATCAATAAAGTAAGTAGCATTAGAATAAAATAATAAAAAACTGGGATCACAGTGTACCTGTCGTGCTTTAGGGCAGGTATACTCTGAGCTAGTTCACAAAGAAAAAAAAGACACAATTAACAGATGTACCTCTATCTCTGCCAGTTGAAAGGCACTTGAATATCACCATCCTCAGATCTAATCCTTCTTTAAGCCAGATCTTGTCCATAATTTTTATCATCTGTAAAGCTAACATATCTTGCCGAAGATCTTCACCAACCTTGAAATCAAGGTAACAAAATGAAACTTGTACCTTTCCAAAAGACTTCATAGACGGGGGTTGGGTGCAGAACAGTGAAAAAGTAAATAATGAGATCAACAGAATTGCCTTTTTCTTCTTCTGCAGCATTCTAGAGAAAGTTATTTAACTTCTTCATATCTCAGTTTCTTAAAACTGTACATTTTAATGGGTTTGCTTTTATATGTGTGGCGAATCAGATACACTGTATTAAAGGGCAATATGGGGGATAATCCATCTCTTGATTGCATCAATGTCAATATCCAGGTTAAGATGTTACCATTGGGGGAAATTGAATCAAGGAGAGGATCTCTGTATAATTTCTTATAATGGTTTTGAATTCACAATTATCTCAAAAAAGTTTACTTAAAGGAAAAACCTTAAACTTCCTAAAATTACTTAATTCTAATTGAAATCAGACCACGTTTTTTCTCTTTTAAACTGGATAACTGTAAATTACATAATGATGAATATGTTTTTGAGACAAGTCAAGAAAATTATGAAAAAGAACAAGGAGGTATCTGCTTTAATAAATATTAAAACATATAAAATTTCATTAATCAAATGGATGAAATTGTTTTAGGAAAAGGCAAAAAGATTAGAGAAATTTGAGTCCAAAACCAGATTTGAATACCTGGGAACTTGGTGTATGTATATTAAAGTTGATTCAAGAGATGTTATATTTATGAACATCCACTAATCAGACTCACTGAATGAACTAGAACTCTCCAATCTTCCTTCAATAAGTAGTTATTATGCTCACGACACATATGACTTTGACAATACATTCCTCTGTAGTACTCCACTCCTCATTCTTCCCACAGGGAAGTTATATAATTCCTACAACATTGCCACTTCTCTTGGTTTTGCAGTTTCACATAGCACAACTACAGGGGTACCATTCATCTCATTAGTCTGTATGAAAGGCACTGCCTGGAATTATGATGTATTCAACCACCAGCACCATATGAACAACTCTAGCTATGAGTTTCATTTGTTCCCAAATCTGTTTGGGAACAGTTCGTGTGAATAATTTTTCAAATAATTATTCAATTTAGTAAAATATTAAGTAAACAAAACTGCTCTGTAATTTTGGAAATGAAATTTGAGAAAATAATTTTTAAATTATGATTTAAAAATAAAATGATCTTATTTTGCTCACCTTAAACATGACGTTAATTTCTTCCCCCATGGGATCAGCATTTACCATTGTGACTTTTAGGGGCACAGCATTAGAACTGAAGAAGGAACAAGACTACAAATATAACAAGTTAAGCATTAGAACAATAATACTGAAATAAAAAGGGATTTATGAAATTTTTGCCCCATGCATTCTCCTTTCACTTGTTCAACTGAAATACGGCAAAAAAATAACACATGTGAATTGCTTTTTTAGCGTATGTGTCAGATAAGATGTATGGAGTAATACATCATCTGCTCTCAAGCAGAGAAGCAAAAACTTAAAGCCCCGAGACAAAATGTATTGGAGTTATAAAAGTGTAACAGAGCACAAAATTTTATATACTCATTTTTTTTTTTAAAGATTGTATTATTTATCCAAGAACCGGGGTACAGGCCTGATTCGCGGGAGGATGAGAGGATTCACCAGAGACAGAGCGGGGAACAGAACAGGCAGACTGACAAAATACACTGCTGAGGGGAGCAGTGGGCGCGACAGGAGAGGTCTGCCGCGCCATGAGGGGCCCTCGCCGGCCGGTGGGATCGAACTGGAGCTGCAGAGGTTGCGGACAGCTTCACAGCGCTGCGCTCAACTGCCTGCGCCACCAGGGGAGGTCCAAAATTTTATAAGCTCTTATCTTTTCTCTAAATGTGTGATCTGGGATTAGATCTCTAATTCTCCTATGTATGGTGCTATTAAAATGGATAGTCAGGGAATCAGATATTGACACTGAATTTAACTTCACTGGCAAAGATCAAATCTTATTTTTAAATAAAACTTGTTTAAAAACAAATTTAAGATATTGAAACCAATTTAAGTGAAACAACACATAAAAACCAAGGGGAAAAATACAAATCATCCCCTCCCATGATATAATTATACAAATTCAAGACCCCCCCAATGTTAAATTTCAATGAATAGTAGAATTAAAGCACTTAAAAAAATTCAAATCTGAGATGCCCTCCCTTATACCCCGATTTTTCAAAATCACACACACTAATAGATAAATTGATTTCTTTTGCTGAATGTATGCTAGAGAAAATCCACTATTTGTATTACTTATCAGCCTAGTTCAAAATAAAATTACTAAATTTTGATGATTAGTCAACTACTTTTTGACAGTTCAATAGGTATTATATCCCAGGTATTATATACCTGGGAAGAGTCTATAGATATGACCTTTCACAAGGGAGGGAAAAAACATGGGTATCTGTGACTAGACGGTTTTACCAGTGGAATTACAATATATACCTCTCATGTGTTATTCCATAATAAAAAAATAACTCATTTGGAGGTAGTAAATAATTTTACATTGTTTACTTTCGGGGATGGTGATTAAATGAAAATGATTAAATGTAAAACCGAACATGAATTTTATACAAACATCCATAAATAAAGTCAACCTATGCAGGTTATATCCTTACCTACCTTAAGCATACCAGCCCACTTGCCTCCTTCTCCACATTTTTTAAAATATAGTATGAAATTACAAGTATTTTATATCTCACCTTAATATTTAATTCTTTTGCCACAAGACTTGGATTGAGAGGTAGACGACATTTATTTCTCAGAAAAAAGGACTGTACTCTTTCCATACTCCTTTGGAGGACAACCTTGAAAAAGAGATTGATATCATAAGTACATACTGAAAACAAATATTGACATTGAATTTAACAACTTCATTGGCAAAGATCAAATCTTATTTTTAAATAAAACTTGTTTAAAAACAAATTTAAGATACTGAAACAAATTTAAGTGAAACAACACATAAAAACCAAGGGGAAAAATACAAATCATCCCCTCCCATGATATAATTACACAAATTCAAGACCCCCCCCCCCAATGTTAAATTTCAATGAATAGTAGAAATTAAAGCAACTTATAGGGAGGTGTATACATAGTTTTTTTTTTATAGTTCAATATAATATAAACCATTACAACTCCCATTACAACTATTACAACTTTATTCAGCTCTCTTACCTATAAGAATATCCGATAAAGAAATATGAGTAAAGAGACAAAAATTATACCCTCTAGTTCATTACATGACTTTTTTTTTTTTTTTTAAAGCTCTAGGTTTCTTTTCTTTTTCTTTTTTTTTTCCTTAAGATTTATTTATTTATACAAGCACTGGGTACAGTCAGAAGTGCGGGAGGGTGAGAGAATTCACCAGAGCCAGAGCAGGGAGCAGAGCAGGCACAAGGACCGAAGTACACTGCTGAGGGGAGCAGCGGGCGGCAGGAAAGGTCTGCGCGCCATGTGGGACCCTCCTCCAGTGGCCGGGGAGCAGCTGGGGATTGAACCGGCGCTGCAGAAGCTGCTGGCAGCTTCGCAACCCAGCGCTCAACCGCTGTGCCACCGGGGAGGCCCCCATTACAGGACTTTTTAACAAAAGAAAAACATCTAAGCAACTTGCATAGAGATAATGGTTCATAATTTATGCTACTATATCTTGTAATATTATGCACCAATTGAGAAACTATATATATCTATACATATACCCACACATCTATACATATACCCATACAAACACATATACACATATATGTATACACACACACAGTGCAAGTACATGTATTGACGTGAATTTTCCAAGATGAAGCTAAAAAAGCAATTTAAAAAGTATAATTACTGAAAGAAATTAAAGATCTAAATAAATGGAAAGACATTCTGTATTCAAGAACTGGAAATATTATCAAGATTGCAATGCTTCCCAAATTGATGTAAATTCAATAAAGTCCTTTATTAAAATTTCAGTGATATTTTGCAGAAAAAGACATGTTATTCTAAAATAATATAAAACTGCAAGGGACTTCCAAATAGCCAAAACAATCTTGAAGAAGGACAAAATTAAAAGACTCCTATTTCCCAACTTTAAACCTTACTACAAAGCTATATAATGAAAACAGGATGGCAGAAAGATAGACATAGAGTATAGAACAGAAATAAACCCGTTATTTTGCAGAAAAAAAAAATGTGACAGAGATAGGCAAAGTACCTAAGAAAACATTAAGCAACTCAAATGAAGAACAAAGCCATTATGCATACAAAAAAAGAGTAACAACCTGACCGCACCCCAAAATTCTTTACAATCAAAATATTTATGTTCCCTGAGGGTACATACCTGTCTGGCTGATCCACTAGCCTGTCTTACTTTTTCTGCTACTCCTCCTAGAAGTTGCACAAGTTTTGTCTGTTTCAAAAGTTCTTCTCTGAGTCCTTTTCCTCCTACTGAGAGGAGAGCACCCAAAATATATTCATAACGGGCACCAAAGTGGGCATCATGCAGGGCATCCTTAAGGAGCCTAATACAGCAAAATATTTATGTTAGTCACTTCTGAGAACTGGATGAATGTCTCTCAAAAATCAATGTAACAGGTTCATTTTTTTTTTTTTTTGGCGTAGAAGAACTGGGATGTAGGCTGGATATACAGAGGGTGAGAGGATTTACCAGAGAGAGTAGGGAACAGAACAGGTGGATTTACTGAAATACACTGCTAAGGGGAGCAGCAAGCAAGACAGGAGAGGTCTGCTGCACCATATGTGTGTTCTCTCCCTGGATGGGATCAAACTCAGGCCATAGAGGTGATAGCACTAAGACTTATTAATTCTTAGACTTATTAATCCAGGGAGGCCTAATTTTTGAAATTTAGGAATTTATTTTAAGCTACACAAACAAGAACACCTTCATTATGATAGAGCTCTAACATGCCAAATACCTTTGTAATAAAGGGCTTGTTATTTTTGGCTTTATTTCTAAAACCCTAAAAATCTATCTTTTTTTTAATACTTTTTAAGAGAAAATTTAAATCGTGGCCTCCCTGGTAATGCAAAGGACTAAGCTCAGCACTATCAAGCTATCAGCAGCCACTGAAGCATGAGTTCCCCCCAGCCAGGGGGCTAACCCACATGGTGCAGTAGACCTCTCAGGTCTTGCCCACTGCTCCCCTCAGCAGTGGATTTAAGTAGATCTGCCTGTTCTGCTCCTGACTCTGTCTCTGGTGAATCCTCTTACCCCGCATCTCTAGCTTACACCCCAGTTCTTGTATGTATAAAAATATAGAAACAAATCTTATTTTAAAAAAAGAAAAGAAAATTTAAATCTTACCAATACAAGTTGTGTGCTATTTGTATATTTCCCAATGCCCTGGACAGAAGGAAGCGTACTAATGAACTGTTCAAGTAAATTTCATACTTCAAAGCCTATATATGAAAGAAAATAAGTTACTGGTGGTCAAATCCACACCACATTGTTAGGATAAAATTGTCAAAAGGGAAACGATATGAAGCAAGTATTACTCTTGTTGATGAAAGATGATATGGATAAAAAATTGAAAGGAATGAACATCCACTAAATTAATGAAACCAAGCAGAAAAGGACAGAACTTAGGGTAACATTTATTACCTACAGGGACAGTTGACAATAGTGTGGGGAGGGGATGATCACATTAAATCCAAACTTAATTCACGTCAACATTCCCACACTACAAAATTACTTTTAATCAAAACAGAAATAGGATCAGTTAGCAAGTATCTACTCCTAAAAACTAGGCAGAGAGTGAGGAAGATAAGTAACTAGTAAAAAAAAAAATTCACCTGCACAAACTGTGGAAGAAGATCTGTTAGCTCATCATCACTAATAGCCTCAATCCAGGTCACAGCTAGGGACCTCACTTCCTGATCAGCAAATCTAGAAAAGTACCACAAGTCAGATTTTACAGTGATTTCTTACTAGGGAAGCTATATTTCCTGAAAATATAATCTCAATCTGTTCTTGACAAAGAATACTCAAATAGCCCTTTAATCCAAATCAATGGTTAATTCTTCTTTTACTTTGGGGAGGGGAAGAGGGAAAATCTTGCTGTGCCACACAAATTCAAGCTTAGGATTGTTTAGATATCTTAAGCTTATAAAATTCCTTTTGGCCTAAAACATAAAAATAAAACAAATTATTTAAAATTTATAATGTAACTCTCCTTAGGTTAGTCCTAAATGGTATGGCATGCCTTTTTAAATAACCTCAATGCAAAAGATGTTTGTAGAAATATACATTTACACATTTATAATGTACTGAATTGCTTTCATGTTCAAAAAATGGTAAGTACGCCTGCAACATAATTCCTTATTGGAAAAACTGATAAAACAGAGCAAATATATTCATTCACAGTTGACTTACTTTGCGTCAAGTAGTTCCAATGCAGTCAGTGGGTGCAATGGAGGCCACTGATGAAGTAATGAGTACGTTTTGGCAAGGCTAACCCATTTCCAGTTTGGGGCACTTGCTAGTAATTTAGGAAGACAATTTGGGTGTTTCAGACAGTAATAACGTTTCTCCCACAAAAAGGTTTTATCTTCTTTAGAAAGTCTGCATACATGACAGAATTAAATCACTTCTCAATGGTATCACAACAACAGTTATAATTTCAATTATTCAAAATACAAAAAAAGAAAACATTCATTTAAAGATAGCTATATCTTGGTAGAATCATCAGTACTAATTTGCAATAGAAAATGTTTGGCAACATCACTGATTTAATTTGGGGAATGGGAAGAAATCGTTCTACCTTGATAAGAGTCTTAGTTATAAAATGGTTATAAAAGTATGAAGGATAGTTTAATACAGTAAAAATGTACTGAGGTCCAACCAGATGCCATGCGCTAAAGTCAGAGTTGAAAAAGCAAAACCCTTTATAATACGAAAGATTCCATCCATTTTATACAAGTAAAATCAAAGGTTATGTAAAAAGTCGTTATTACAAAATTTTCAAATATAGTTCAACTGATATTCAAAATGAAATGGACTTGTTTTAGAGATTCTAATTTAACCTTAATGGCAAATGATAAATAAAATATTTCACAATTTTATTATCTAACCATGTATCTTTGTATATATTACACATGCAGAGTACTGAAAAAAATTTAAATATTGCAAAAAGGTGTATAATAAGTCCTGCTCTGTCCAATTCCCTTCCTAGTAGCAGCGGCCTAAGCTACTCTATTCATAAAGAAGCATATATGCAGATATACAAGATTCGTTTTTTCTTCATAGTAAGGTAGCATACTATATACACAAGTCAACTCTTGGCTTTCTTCACTAAACATTTCTTACATATTAGAACATATAGCTACCACTTCATTCTTATTAGTTACATAGTGCTCCATTGGATAAACATATCATAATTTAACTCCTATTGACAGACATTTCGTACCAGCTTTATAATATTCAAATAAATTCTACAGTGAATATTCTTTTGTCTCCAGAAGCAAATATAAAAGAGATTTGTTTAAGATATATAATTGGAAGACTTGCTAGGTCTAGACTATGCACACTGTGACCTTTATAGATTTTTGCTACATTGTTCTCACAAAGCATTTATTCATTTTTATTATAATTCAGAAATACATGAGAAACTGATTCAGACATCTTTAATAAAAGATCACCTAGGTTTCTCAGGGGTATCTGCTTTCCACTCATTCAGTAATGTAGTTACACATCCATCGTTTACTTGAAAATGGTGGAAAACACCAAGCAGGATCTTAGTGTATTGGAACTTTTCCACCTCAGGCACTGTGAAAGGTTTCTAGGCCTCCTGGGTAAAAGGACCACTGGGTATTTACAGACCTGCCTCTATTTAATGTCTGCTAGACATTAAATGGGCACCTGATCAATAGAACATTCTATCACTCTAGAGGCTAAGGTGTAGTTCTGGAATTAAGCATGAAGGTTTGCATTTCTGATTCAATTTCCCTTTGATGTATTCTAAAGGACAATTAGAATTGTCCCAATCTTTCAAACCATCGATGTTTGTCTTCCAAAAATAGTACATAATTTACTAACTCTTGGCACCAAATAAAGTACCCCAAAAGCATTCAGAGTCAGCAGAAAGCTAGATGAGGATCCATTTCTCTCCCCAAATAAAGCTATTTGAAATCCAGAGTGAATGCAAATGGCACAAAAGTTAAACGACAGTCTTTCCCCAAAAGACTGGGTTGACCCCAAGGCATTCATCTATATTTATTCCTTCTAAAATACGTGGAAATCATGGACTGTCTATTCCAAAAGCTATTTAAAAGTTCCATTAAGAGTGTAATTTCCACTTTTCTGTGTAACACTTTACGTAAGATGATTTAATTGTCATCAATCTGAAATATATGAAATGGCATCTTATGTTAATTTACATGGCCTTATTACAGAGGTAGAACATAGTTTCAAATGTTTAAAAGGCACTTCTTCTTTTCCAAAAAATTATCTATTTATATTTTTTGTGTACTTTACCACTGAGATGTTGGTTTTTCCTACTGATATGAAAAGGTCCTTTGTATTTATGGAAATTAATCTACTGATATTTACTGTTGAATATACTTCCCTGTCTGTCTTTTAATCATGTAGAAAGTTTAAATTGTACAAATTTCTTAGCTTTCATGTAGTCATATAGTCTTTTTACATAAATAAAGACAAAAATAGAAAACTTAGCATACCAAGAACACTGCTAAATCATTAAAATCAGAGCATTTAATAAACCATAAACTTGGGTTTTATACTGTAAGAGACAAAACAGAATCAAAACAGGCCAAACAGAACCAAAGGAACATACCCAAGTGATGAGTCTCTGTGAAGAATATCAAGAAGTTTTCCTTTTATATCATTTTCCAGTGTTTCAAAGTTGTGTTTTTGTATGATGGTGTCGACTTGAGGAGGGGTGTAAATGATATCAAATGTAGGAGAAGGAAAATCAACCTTAAACGTTTAAGAAAAGTTTTGATCAAATTAATTAAATTCTCATATTTGCCACATTAACTTCTTTACCTCTGAAAAAACTGATTTTTCATAGCAATTAATGACTTTGAGATTGAATATCAAATCAGTGCTTCTTTTCTGACAGTGATTACCACTGCACTAATACTCTAGCACACAAATTGCTTGAGATGCATACAAGTGCATTTTTTTACTATTTATCAGAAATCAGAAATGCTTTACTGAAATTTAAATTGTTGACCCTAAGTTTGAAACAAGATGAATTAGGCTTTTTTTTAAAAACATTTTATTTTTTACACTAAAGCATTTTTTTTTAAAGATTTATTTATTTATTTATACAAGCACTGGGTACAGTCAGAAGCGCGGAAGGGTGAGAGAATTCACTAGAGCCAGAGTGGGGAGCAGAGCAGGCAGACTGACGAAGTACACTGCTGAGGGGAGCAGCGGGCGGTAGGAGAGGTCTGCGCACCATGTGGGACCCTCACCTGGTGGCCGGGGATCGAACTGGCGCTGCAGAGGCTGTGGGCAGCTTCGCAACCCAGCACTCAACCGCTGCGCCACAGGAGAGGCCCCCGAAATTAGGCTTTTTTATTAACAACCCCAATCATGACATACATACACTTTTTAGAAAGAAATGAAATTTAAATTTCTCCACATGTCAAAAAGTTATCATTACCTGTAACACTATTCTTTCCATCACATATCCTTTTTTGGGGACTGTTCCAGAAATAGGATTTGTATGTGAAGAAGTCCACAGATACAGAAGCTTAGTTCCAGATGTTAAAAACCTTCATGAATATAAACAAAGGAATACTGTGGTTTTCATTTTAAAAATTAACTCAAACCCCAAAACGCATGTTAATGAATTTGAACTGTTCATAGTCAAACCTTTATACATGCATATTAATGCATAGGTATACAAAAAGAACATCACCTTTAAGAACTTATCAGAAGCAGCCAATCTCTACATTGTGCCTAGGCTTTTCAGTAAATGTATTGATGTGTGGGAGCTGGGACACAAGGAGGTAAAATGAAAGATTATTTTGGGAGTAATGAGGTTGAGGACAGAATTAAGATGGATTGTTGTACTTCTCAGGATTGTTCCCCAAACAACTTAATATAAATTAGGATAATCTTTGAAAATCATCTATAAAGGAATATATCTCAAAATAGTAGTTTGGATTATAGAACACTCCCTGACTTTTACCATCATAAACAAAAGTACAAAGAGCTAGTTCTACCACTTATTAGCTAAGTATCCTAGGGAAAGTCACTTAAGCTCTTTGTACTTTGATTTCCCCCACTGTAAAAAGGGTATTATAATAACATGTACCTGCATATAGCTGTTGTGAGGAATATATGAAATATATATAAAGAATTTAGATTAATACCTAGTATATAGTAAATGTCATGTGTTTATTATTACAATTACTATTGCTATTAAACACAATAGATTTCTTGACTACAGAACCTTAGATATATATTTAATGTGTTCTCTCCCAAATGTTATCATGCACTATTATGAAACATATCCCAAAATCACTCAATTTTTTTTTTACTTAGGAAGACACCTGATGGTCTCATAGGGCATATTTTTATTTAAAATATAATTTAAATGGTCAGTTGAAAGACCAGGTAGATTACACTATCCCAGTGGCTATTAGGAGACACAAAATTCAAAAAGGAATTCCTTTATCCTTACAAATCACTGAGTTTTTGCAAACACATGAAACTTTGGAGATTAAAGGCTAGGGGCCCACAGCAGTAAGGGCGGATCAACAAAGAGAAGTGAGAAAGGAATAATGTGCAGTAGTAGATTCTCTGAAACTGGAAACAGATGGGAATGGAACAGGAAATGGAAAAAGTTATTAATATCAAGGGCACTTATAAGTCCATGGTATTATGTCAATAATACTGTTAAATGACAGTTAAAGAGTGAATTGATTGCTGCTGTCCCCCTGGAACAGTGACTGGCAAACAATCTTTTGAACCCCCATATTGATGTATTCAAACTACAGCAGAATAACTTAGCTTCCCACTGAAATGACCTCCTTTTATCACAGAAAATAAACGGAGGCAGTTCATTATCTCACGTGTTATTGTTCCTATCCCTGTTCACTAGCCGATTCTGATGCTACAGATGTGTCCACAGTAACTCACTATCTCAACTCAGTTACACTCACCTTTTAAAGTCAAAAAGAGGTAAAGAAACTTTGCCCAAAGCTTCTGGTCCCTTTCTCTGCTTATTAGAATCAGGGGAACTTCCACTGCTCTGATTTAAAATTCCAAAAAGGGTAAGGTGAAGAAGTGATTCTAATGGCAATTGTGATATCTCGATGGGAAAAATGATTCTATGGGGGAAAAAAAAATGTATTAATTGAAAAACATTAGGTCAAATTCAAATTTTAGCTCTTTAATGAAACTGAAAATTTTAGTTATATTATTTATCAAATAACCCTCAATCCTGAGATCCATTAGCCAATTACGTGGTTGGCTAACTTATCTAAATCTTAAACAAATTTCTTTTTCATTTTTAAAGATTTATTTTATTTATGCATACAAGAAATGGGGTGTAGGCTAGAGGTACAAGGGATGAGAAGATTCACCAGAGACAGAGTGGGGAGCAGAACAGGTGGATCTACTGAAATACACTGCCAAGGGGAGCAGCAGGTGAGACAGGAGAGGACTGCTGCGCCATGTGGGTTAGCTCCCCAGCCAGGGATCGAACTCATGCCACATTGGCTGTCAATAGCTTGACAGACTGAGACTTTAACCCCTGCGGCACCAGGGAGGCCCTTTAACAAATTTCTTTAAAATTTCAAATAGGTAACATTTCTTCAAAGATTTGTTACTGCATTTAGTCAAGAAATTCAATGTCAATTTCTACACAAAATAATAGTGATCTTTATTTCCTTTAGGAAAATATAGATGACCACTTATGAGTATGATGCAGGACATAGATGCTGTACATAAATACACACACACTCTCTCACACACACACACACACACAGAGATATGTTTGCCAATGTGCTTTTAATTTTTAAGTCTGGAAGGGCAAGGAAGGATTAATAGTGGTCACTCTGAGGATGAGATGAGATGGTAAATATTGAAAATAAGGTAACATTTTCCTGTACTATATGCATTTCTCTATTATTTGATTGCTTTTACAGGTCTATTATTTCTGTAATTGAAAAATAAGACTAGGAAGCATTTAATAAAGGCAGAAAACTAAAAGTTCTGCAACTGCCTATCTACCTCAATAATGGAAGCACTCCCTTGGTTTATAAAAAATACTTTAAAAATATTAACACTAGAGAATATATCTTCTACATGGATTTAAGATTTTTGTTATGTGTTAGCCAAGAACTAGGCTTCATACATACAGTTATAGACTAAATACTAAACTAAGAAATCTGAAAGAATACCATCTTTCTAAAATATATGTGAATTTATCTTTACCTTGACAAAGTCTAAGAAGAATTAATGCAATGCTTCTACAAATTAAAAATACGTTGACTTACGAGTATTTCAAATTTGTTTTTAAACATTTATTTATTCACGTATATAAGAACTGGGGTGTAGCCAGAAGTGCGGGTGAGAGGATTCACCAGAGACAAAGTAGGGGGCAAAACAGGCAGATTTACTGAATTACATTGCTAAGGAAAGCAGCAGGCAAGACAGGAGAGGTCTGCTAAGCCACATGTGGGTTCTCTCCCTGGGACTCAGGCCGTAGAGGTGATAGCACTGAGACTTAACCCCTAAGTCACCAGGGAGCCCGCAAGAGTATTTCAGATTTTTAAATGAGAATTTCAATCTGTTCTATAAAATTGTATCTATATTAGACTTTAAGACATCAATAAGAATTTAATGAATAAAAATTCTAATGAAAATGAAAGGTAGTTTTCACACATGGAAAAAAGTAAAGAACATGTCGTTCTAAAAGAATAAAAAGTCATAAATTTCACTTACAGTTCATCCCATTTAATAAGATAGAAGAAATTCTTGTAAGTGCCAACCTTCTTTGACTGAATAGGTTTAAAGAGATCCTTTCCATTGTGAGACAGGGAGCATATCAAGTAGTACTTTTCATAACTGAAAAAAGTTTAATTTTTATTTGATAATACAAATTAGTTAACAATACAAATGTACATTATTAATCATTAGTGACTATTAATCTGGAATAATTTGGCTACCAATGCAAATTCTATGAAAATAGAGAACAGACATAGCAAGTAGGGATGAGGTATAACAAAGATGGTACAGAGTAGAACATATATCCCCATATGCTTCTTATGGATATCACAATGATACTAGATAGAAATTTATTTCAATGTTGTGCTTAGTTACTAGCTTTTTATTTTAGTTGAGTAACACTGAATAATGATTAAATTCTAAGTAAATTCTAGGAATATAGAGTATAAACATTATCTTCCTAACATGCCATTTCCCAACTTACTGAAATAGAGTTAGTGAAATAGAGTTAAGCCTGACTGCACTGAGGTAGTCTTCTCTGGGGAGAGATACTTTCTATCTTCTCTCATTAGACAACAATGATTTAGCCCTAATTGCTACAAGTACAGACCTGGTTAGATACAGTCAAGCAATTCTGTAGGGCAGCAGTCTTCGGTTCAATAAACTGTGTTTGATAATATTCTAACTTACTGTGAACCTTAAATAACCCCTTTCTCCATATATATAATCTATTAATCATTCTAAATTAATGTTTTAAATCTAATCTCACTGATTCACAAAACACCTCTAGCTATTGACTGCTTTTCTCAACTTCATTCCCTTTGTCCTTCTTCAATTCAACATTGCATTAACTTTCTCTTAATTATCACTGTAGTTTGCTGCATTGTCTTCTAATGAGTATCTGTTCTCTTCATTAGTGTCCCTACATTTATCTGTGTGTATATACGTGTGTGTGTGTGTGTGTGTGTGTGTGTGTGTAGGACGTGGAGGGTACTGTCCCTGTAACTATTTAAAAGAAAGAACTAACTTCAGATAGTAGTAGTAATACCCATTAAAATGTAAGTTCCAGGAGGACAGAGATTTTTTGATACCCTGTTTACTACTGAGTTCCCAGTAGTAAGAACACTGCCCACAGATGGTGCTTGGTAAATATTTATTGATGAATGATATGCCACTTTCAAGTCATTACAAAATTTCAAAAAAATTTATTATGTATTCATTTATTTAATCTAAGGTTCAATTTAAGCAGAATTTATGTGCAGGGTTTTTTCCCACTAGGTTTTACCTTATTTTATAGCATTAAGCTATTATAAAACGATTTCATTAAAGTCAATTCAAACGTTCAATTTATATCAGACATTTCCAAATAAGCTGAAATTGGCAAACTTTATGGCATTGACAAAAAAAAAAAATCAAAAAGGAAAAACCTGTATTAAAAATTTAACAGAATATGGTTTTATAGATTTTAAAGTCTAACAATCAATAAAATGTAAACTAGTAAAGAGAGGGGAAAAAATGTCTAGTCCCATTATATTGTTTCAGATTACCTTGGTGCTAAAGCAAAGTCAGAAACAATAAGTCACAAATTGACTAACTTTTTTTTTTTTTTATAGAGGCATGTTTTATTTATTTATTTATTTGTTTGTTTGTTTGTTTTGTTTATACATGCACTGGGTACAGTCAGAAGCACGGGAGGGTGAGAGAATTCACCAGAGCCAGAGCGGGGAGCAGAGCAGGCAGAAGGACCGAAGTACACTGCTGAGGGGAGAAGCGGGCGGCAGGAGAGGTCTGTGCGCCATGTGGGACCCTCCTCCGGTGGCCGGGGAGCAGCCGGGGATCGAACCGGCGCCGCAGAGGCCGCGGGCAGCTTCGCAACCCAGCGCTCAACCGCTGCGCCACGGGGGAGGCCCAAATTGACTAACTTATTAATCAGCCAGATTAAGTATATATTTTCTCTCCTTTTTTTTTTTAAAATCTGAGTACACACTTTTCTTTTTTTATTTTTTTTTAAAGATTTATTTATTTATTTATACAAGCACTGGGTACAGTCAGAAGCACGGGAGGGTGAGAGAATTCACCAGAGCCAGAGCGGGGAGCAGAGGAGGCAGAAGGACTGAAGTACACCGCTGAGGGGAGCAGCGGGTGGTAGGAGAGGTCTGCGCACCATGTGGGACCCTCCTCCAGTGGCCGGGGAGCAGCCGGGGATCGAACCGGCGCTGCAGAGGCTGCGGGCAGCTTCGCAACCCAGCACTCAACTGCTGCGCCACTGGGGAGGCCCTCTCCTTTTTTTTAATATGTAGTGGGAATGTATTTTTTAATAGAACAGTGTCAAACAGCTAAGTAAATTTTATGAAAACTCCAAAGGTATTTGGTGACTCATGTACTATCCATTTAAATCCAAGATAAGCATGGATGCTGATCTTTTACAAGATTAGAATAATTCTCAGTAAAGCTGTGTGATTTTCTTTTAATCATTTACTTACATTGATACCCAGTTACTTGAAATTCCATGTGCAGCAAAAATGGTAAACTGGAGCTGTTCTGTTGTGGTCCATGCCTCTTTGATGTTCCTGTTACTTTGGACACAGGCTGCAGGATTCCTACCAGAATTTGCATGGAGTCTAAGAAGATCATAAATTGCTGCAGTTAATTGATCCATGCTTACTTGAACAGGATTTTCAGGATTCAGTGAGCCTAGATTTAAAGAAACTGTTAATATAATATTTTGATAAAGCACTTTATTGCTAAAATTTAAATAAGTTAAGGACATACCCCTAGATGAATGCCTGCCAGTGTCTCCTCCAGACAGTGAAGTCACCTGCATACAGGCATATAAATTAGTTAGAAAACTGTCTGTGATATATAATGTTTACCTTTAGTTAATGCATTAAATCAAATATTTTATTAAAGAAAGCCTTCACAGGAGAAATGTCTCAAAAGTGTCTGCAGAAGTAATAAAACAATAAATAAAGAATGCAGAAGGTGAAAACCCTTAACAAAATAAACAGGTGAATTTTAGTGTCAAGAAAATCATACAGTAACTGAAATTTACTGCAATACGTAGAAACTAAAAAAAATTTGTCTCATTAAGACAATTTACCAATTCATATTTGAAATCCAAAAGTAATAAATAAACTAATACAGTATTTTATTTTCCCTTAGTTGCTCTACTATTAGATAAGAACACTCTTAGAGAAACTAGAACTCTATTATCATTTAGTGACCAAAAAAGTTCTTATAATTGTTTAAATTAAGCTCTTCTCTTACTCTGTGCTTACTCCTTTATCCAGCAAAGAGTATAATGAATACAAGTCTCAGACATTTGGATCATTATAGTCAATCACATTCAAGTGATTTTATAGAAATATTTTAATTTCTAGAAGCAAGCACATAAAAAGAAATAGATCCAAATTTCTGAATCCACATGGATAAGGATCTCTGTGAGAATGAATGGGTTGAACAATCCACTAAGTATCTGTTGAAGGACATGATATCAATATAACGTTTCCCTTCTTTAAATTTATCATGTGTTATGATTCACCTTCTCTCATCTTCCCAATCAGAGCTATGAACACCCTATGAACAGAACTAATTAAACCCCATGAAAATATCATGGGGAGAATTTTTACTAAAACAAAAGTGTAATATAAAAAAAGGGGCTTAGTATCTACTTTAAAACCTCCTACTGACTCATTTATGCTAGAGTTCCTCTTCTACACACAAAATGTCCACAGTTTGGCATACATCTATTCAATGTCAACTTCCAAAGCAGGCCACCCCCTCTTGGGATCTCTCCGACCCTGCCAAGTAAGTGACCAAATCAACTCAAAAGTAAAAGCCACAGTTAAAATAACATTTTATCCAAGGGAAGCAAAAATCTTCCAGTTTAAGTGATGATCATATAAGTACATATTTGCATATAATAAAATGCTAATTTCTAAAAAATACTCACATCAGCACTTTTACTCCTTAGAAGATTAACTGCTCTCTTTAGCTTCTTTACTGATTCAGTAATGGCAAGAGTCTCTACACCATCTAAAGCACTACAGATTTTTCTTACAGCTTTAATTACTTGATCTATTGTTCGGTGCTGGTTCTTCAAAAATAAAAAGTAAAATAAATATGAGTATGTGGAATTTAAAGGATCATTTCAGAGATGAAGGCAGAAAACAGAACTTCTAGCTGTGTCTCAGAACAAACATCCTCTACTCTTCTCTGGTGACAAAAGAAACAAGATAGCTTTTCAATTATATAGTTTTCTTCAAAGAAGAAAAGAACAGGTCTGGTTAATTTTCACTTTACCCGACACAATTATTCATATGCAAACCAATTTCAGATTAGAATCAGAAGTAGTAGCAACAAGTTACCAATAAATTGCTAAATCATAAAAAAATAAGTCGTCTTTCCTATTCTCGTTTGGGAATAATTTCCACATTAAAATACCAATTCTTCTCTCTCTATTGCAAAAATTTGTTATTGAAACCAAGTTATTCAGAAGATGGTCACATTTTAAAAAAATATTTATTTATTTATGCATACAAGAACTAGGGTACAGGCCGGGGCGGGGGGAGCAGTGTGTGTGCGAGAGGATTCACCAGAGACCGAGTGGGGAAAACAACAGGTGGACTGACTGAAATACACTGCTGAGGGGAGCAGCGGGAGAGACAGGAGAGGTCTGCTGCACCATGTGAGTCACCTCCCTAGCCGGGGATTGAACTCGAGCTGCAGTAGCTGCAGATTGCTTCACAGTGCTGATGCTTAACCCCTTGCGCCACCAGGGAGGCCCCTGGTCACATATTAATAACACTGGGCGAGTGAAAACTGTATATATTACTTGCATCTATACAACCATGACTTACATTTTTTCTTTTTCTTTTTTTTTAAAGATTTATTTATTTATACAAGCACTGGGTACAGTCAGAAGCGCGGGAGGGTGAGAGAATTCACCAGAGCTCGAGCGGGGAGCAGAGCAGGCAGAAGGACCGAGGTACATTGCTGAGGGGAGCAGCGGGCGGCAGGAGAGGTCTGTGCGCCATGTGGGACCCTCCTCCGGTGGCCGGGGAGCAGCCGGGGATCGAACCAGTGCTGCAGAGGCTGCGGGCAGCTTTGCAAACCAGCGCTCAACCGCTGTGCCACTGGGGAAGCCCGACTTACGTTTTTTCTGATGAAAAAACTTCCTTGAGGATAATCCCTCTGTACTATTCAATCACAATTAATTTCACCACAACTCAAAAGTATACATGTACAAATTATAAAATCATTTACCTGATGATTTAAAAATCCTTCTCTACATCCCTGTTGTTTAAAGTACAACTCATTAAAAAAAACCTTATATAATGAATTAATTCATTAAACATTTATGCCAATTTATATGCCAAGTAGTTAGAATGGGTTGAAACTCAGTATTGCATCATCCTTTAAAAATTTAAACTTTCCTACTATTGAGACTAGGGTACCATAAACTGAATGTTCCCTTCACTTTCATGCTTAAATGGAACCACCTCATTCTCAAATACTAAATTATAAATTACCCTGCAGTCCTCAGCACCTGAAGGTATGTTTTTAGCTCCCCATTTCAGTTACTCATTTTTCTATTTATTTTATTCCTGTACCTTTAAGCAAAAAACCTGTCCATTTTTGTTATCATGCCATTCTCCTATATCATTCTCCATCATTCTTTATGGGCCAATTATTTTTTTTTTAAAGATTCATTTATTTATTTATACAAACTCTGGGTACAGTCAGAAGCGCAGGAAGGTGAGAGAATTCACCAGAGCCAGAGTGGGGAACAGAACAGGCAAACTAACGAAATACACTGCTGAGGGGAGCAGCGTGCATGGCAGGAGAGGTCTGCGTGCCTTGTGGGACCCTCGCCTGCGGCCGGGGATCGATCCGCGCTGCAGAGGCTGCGGGGCAGCTTTGCAGCCCAGCGCTCAACCACTGCACCACCAATAAATTATTAATTTATTGTCTACCCACCCTTTCTTGCTCTACTTTGTGATACTAAAACTAACCCTATACACAATTCTCCTTTGCCAGATGGCACAATGCTAGGTTTTGTCAATTGAGGGCACTAAAAGAATACTCAAAGGTGAGAATAGCATGAAGACATTTCTCATCAAGGTTCCAGTTCCCCATTTTTTAATTTAGCCTAGTAACCCAGTGGTTCTCAAAGACCAGCTTCAGCTATACCATCAGGTCATATACCCCCAATCTGATAGCTCTGGCAAATTTCTTTACCACAGGCACATCTGTATATTCCTCTGTGATGGTCATACCCTCTTCAAAGAAGTTAAATTTCAGCCTGAAGTTGAGGGAGAGGCCATACAACTATACTTGTCACTTCTGGACCCCTTAAGAACAAAGTTGGCAAGTTTTTTTTTAAGGCCAAATGGCAAATATTTTAGGCTTTCTGGGCCAAACAGTCACTGTCACTGTCACTGTCGCAATTCAACTCTGCTACTTGGGCATGCAGATAGACACAGATAATACATTAAAAAAAACATGGTTATGTTTCAATAAAACTTTATTTACAAAAACAGGTAACAGACCAGACTTAGCATGTGGGCCATAATATGTGAACTCCTGCATTAGAATTAGAATCCTCTTTTACTCCTTGAAGCAATTAACTTTTACCAAATAATGATTCTTTAAATTTCCCTGTTAATAACTACTACAGTTTCTGTCTTCTGACTTGACCCCTGATTGATCTGCTATGCTACTGACCTATGGCCACACACAGCCCTGCATGCATATTTTTACTTTGGTATTTATCTGACTTCCTACCCCACATACCATAAGTCTTAGTTATATAACTGTCCATGTGTAAAATTTACAGCATCTTCAACTCTAAACCTGTACTTTAACATGATCTTAGCTATTTAAAATACCATATGGGCCTCCCTGGTGGCACAACGGGTTAAGCACTGCACTATGAAACAATCTGCAGCCTCTGCAGCACGAATTCAATCCCCTGCCAGCCAGGGAGCAACCCACATGGCACAGCAGACCTCTGTTGACTCACCCGCTGCTCCCCTCAGCAGTGTACTTCAATCAATCTGCCTGTTCTGTTCCCCACTCTGTCTCTGGTGAATCCTCTCACCCCCCACATCTCTGGCCTGTACCCCAGTTCTTGTATGAATTAAAAAAATAAAATAAAATATCATAGCATATGATGATGACAATCTACTTTCCTTCAGCCCTCACACACTCATTCTAATCAAACTGTTCTGTGAATTCACAGACTTCACTTATCAGCTTTTACTACCAGGTGACTGAATATGCATTATGTATAATAAGTAAAAACTGTAAACAGGATAAATGCCCATTATTTGGTGCATGGATAAAGAAAAGCGGTATATTCATACAATGGAAGTATTCAGCAATAACAAAAGGAACAAACTATGGTCATATAATACAAATTATATCCTACAACAGCTTAAAAACAGTACAGTACACACTGAAGAAATCAGATATAGAGCCTCCCTGGTGGCGCAAGAGGTTCAGCACTGCCCTATGAAGCAATCTGCAGCCTCTGCAACATGAGTTCGATCCCCAGCCGGCCAGGGAGCAACCCACATGGCGAAGCAGACCTCTCCTGTCTTGCCCACTGCTCCCCTTAGTATATTTCAGTCACTATGCCTGTTCTGTTCCCTACTCCGTCTCTGGTGAGTCCTCTCACCCCCCACCCCTCTGGCCTGTACCCCAGATCTTGTATGCATAAATAAATAAATCTTTAAAAAAAAAGGACAAAAAGAAATCAGATATAAATAATTTACATGGGGTATATGATCCCAATTATATAATCCCCCCTAAAGGTAAATTATAGAATTAGGAATCAGATCAGTAGTTATTTGGGGCTATGGAGGAGAATGGAAAATGACTACAAAGTAGTACATGTTAATTTCCAGGGATGATGAAAATGTTCTAAAACTGGACTGTGGTGATAGTTATACAACTCCATGCATTTACTAGAAATTCAGTGAACTATACATATGCACTGGGTGAATTTTATGGTATATAAATAATAAAGATGTAAAAAAAAATTATGGAGAGCGGGGCCATCCTGGTGGCGCAAGGGGTTAAGTGTCAGTCAGCACTATGAAGTTATCTGCAGCCACTGTAGCAGGAGTTCGATCCCTGGCCAAGGAGGTGAGCCACATGGTGCAGCAGACCTCTCCTGTCTCGCCCTCTGCTTCCTCAGCAGTGTATTTCAGTAGATCTGCCTGTTCTGCTCCCCACTCTGTCTCTGGTGAATTCTCTCATCCCCTGCACCTCTGGCCTGCACCCCAGCTTTTGAATGCATAAATAAATAAGTCTTTAAAATATTATGGGGAGTAAATGGGATAGGCACTATTTCAGATAAGAGGGTCACCAAAGAACTCTTTTTTAGGGTAATATTTGAGCAGAGACTTTAATGAAGGACAAGGGTAATCTATGCAAGCATCTAGGGCTGAAGCATTAAAAGTAGAGGGAACTAGAGGCCTCCCTGGTGGCGCAAGGGGTTAAGACGCAACCTATGAAGCAGTCCACAGCCTCTGTAGCATGAGTTTGATCCCCCTGCTGGCCAGGGAGCAACCCACATCGCGCAGCAGACCTCTCCTGACTCGCCCGCTGCTCCCCTCAGCAGTGTACTTCAATCTGCTCCCCACTCTGTCTCTGGTGAATCCTCTCACTCCCCACACCTCTGGCCTGTACCCCAGCTCTTGTATACATACATGTATACATACATACATAAATATTAAAAAAAAGTAGAGGGAACTATAAATACAAGGGTTCCATTTGAAGAGTATCAACTAAAACAAAGGATATGGTAAATCAGAATACAGGGTCTTGAAGCCACATTAGGGATAAGAATTTTACCTACTGAGATAGTAAACAGGATTTCAAGAAAAAGAGTAGAACAATTTAACAAACATCAGGAGTTTATAAATTTCATTAATCTTTCAAAGAACCATCTTTTAACTTTGATTTTCTTAGTTTACATTTACTTTTTCAATTTTCTTTTTTTAAGTAATTTTTTTTAGTTTGGAATCATTTTAGATTTACAGAAAAGTTGTAAAAATAATAATATAATAAAGAGTTCCAGTGTAACACTAAAGAAAATGGATTTAGTAACATCTCACATAACCACATTTCATTTGTCAAAAACCAAGACATTAACACTACTACATTAACATTACTATTAATTAATCTTCAGATTTCACCAGTTTTTCCATAAATGCCCATTTTCTCTTTATTTCGCATTGTATTAGTGACTTATTTTTATTTCTTTTGAGAGATTATTTATTTATACAAGCACTGGGGCACAGTCAGAAGCGCGGGAGGGTGAGAGAATTCACCAGAGCCAGAGAGGGGAAAAGAACAGGCAGACTGATGAAATACACTGCTGAGGGGAGCAGTGGGTGGCAGGAGAGGTCTGCACGACATGTGGGACCCTCGCCCAGCAGCTGGGGATCGAACCGGCGCTGCAGAGGCTGTGGGCAGCTTCATGGCCCAGCGCTCAACCGCTGCGCCACCGGTGAGGCCCAGCGACTTATTTTTAAAAGATCATTTTGTTTGGAAAACAGTTAAGTTCAGGGCAGCAACTGGGAGATCAGTAAAGAACTACTGTAACTACTGTAACTAAGACTGACACTTCGGAATTGGTTGCCTTCTTAAAGTATTTTGAAGGTAAAGATGGCAGGAATTAAATTAAATATGGAATGTGGAGGTTTATTTTACTGACAAATCAAAGATTTCCAAGGTTTTGACCTGAGCAAATGGAAGAGTAAAACTGCCATTTATTAAAAAAGGGGAAGACTTTTTTAAAAGATGACATGATTAGTATAAAAATTTAGCTTTGTGTGTCTTAAATTTCATATTAGACATTCATACAAAAATGCCAACTGATAGATATTTGAATGTGGAGTTGAAGAAAAAGGTTAAGGCTGGAGATACAAATGTCAGAGTCATCAGCACCTACGAAATATATTAAAAACATGAGATTAAGCAAGATCATCTAGGATGTGAATATAGAGAGAAGTCCTAGGACTGAGCTCTGGGGTTCTCTAATGTTTAGAGGTAAGGAAGAGATGGAGATCATAAGTGAGAGTGAGAATATAACAGTCACTAAAGGTAGAAGCAAGAAGGTGATATCCTAAAGGCCAATTCAAGTGTTTCAAGAAGGAAGAAATTATTAATTCTATCAAACAAAGCAGAAAAGCTAAGAAAAATAGAGATTAAAAACTTACTGCTGGAATTGGGAATATGGAAGTCCTTCATGATTTAAAAGTAAAGTTTCTAAGAAATGTTGAGAATGAAAGCCTGATTGGAGCAGGTTCATAAGAGAATAGAAGAGGGGAAGTGGAAGCAGAAAAAAAGGCTTATGCTGCAAAGAGAAAAAGAGAAGTTGCTACAGGATTATGTGGGCTTTTTCATTTACCTTAATATGGGCAATACATTCACATCTCAGCTTGAACTCTTTTTCTCTCTACCTACAATTATTTTCATGTTGATCTTATCTAATCAAATACCAATATATACATTCTGATGATTTTCAAGTTTATTATCTCCAGCCTAGTCCTCTTTCATTAAGTTTCAGACTTAACATCATTATTCAAATGAGTAAGTCATCTTAAACATAATGGCAAAAACTCAGTTCCAGATCTTTCCCCCAAGCCTATTCCTTTCCCCAAACATTTCTCTAAAGGCAACTCCAAATTTTCAAATACTCAGGTGGAAAATCTTGAGAGTTACGTTAAACTTCATTCTCTCTCGCATGTCCAACATCCATTCTATCCGTAAATCATCACTTGGATATCTCTAATGTTATCTCCCAATCTTTCACTTTGTATTCTATTACAAAGTGCTTATATACTTCCATTTATCTACCACAGCTGGGGTGGGTGCTGTTTTTCCGCATTCCCTTCCCAACTTCCTTCTGATTAACTCATTATTTAAGACACATCAGTCAGGCAACAACCTTATTAAGAGGCCTTTCTTGAACCTTCAAGTTGAGAGAAGAACCCTTTTGATTTCTCAACCCCAATGCACACCTCTACCATATTTACTATACTATCTTGAAATTGGTTAAAATCCCCCATCACTTACTTTAATTTCTTGGTAGGTAGGAACTAGGTCATTCAATTTCCTAACTCTGGTATCTAGCATATAGTAAACATTCAATGCTTTTTAAATTGAACTGAAGATTCTGCTTAGTAATAAAGCTGAATAAACATGTCAATTTAAACATTGAGAATTTTTGTTATTACAGAATTGGGTCAAGAAAACTCATCAAACATCAACATAATGCATAGAAACAGAATCTAGTTTAAATAGTACCAAAATATTTAAACCAACATCAACAACATTTAGAAAGGAATAGTGACAAGAATCTTTAAGTGATCATGTCAAAATGTAAATTAAGACTTACATCAGTTTGAAGGGCTAGTTCCACTTGGTTGTGATAAGAATCTAAAAGTTCTTCAATAGGGTGCCTAAAAAAAAGAACAGTTAAGATAGCTGAAGGGTATAATATACAAATATGATTGTTTTAATCACTAAAATAAATATATTCACATCCAAGAGAAATGTTTGAAAACCTATAATGAATGCTTTAGATGCCATACCTTGTCATGACTTCTTTATAAGGTTTTTCTATTTGATGGAGGTGTTTGCTTAAATCCACAGGTGTTTCATCATCTTCCACCTAACCAGACACATACAAATGTTTACCAAAAAATTTTATACACTTTATGTTCTTTGTATTGTCAACTTTAATATGGTTAAGTATGTAATAAATTAATTAAAACTAAAGTGATTTTCTCAGTATGGAGGGTAAATTCTTATCAGAATGATTATAAGACTAAAAAAAGAATCAATATTATGAAAAAATTTGTTTCTAAATGGAAAAATATAAATGCTTTTAAGTCTGATTTCTGACATATAAATAGCAGCAAAGCAAAAACCACTTCTGTTCTAAACATAGCAGCAAGCTAAAAACACTTTTAAAATTGGCTGACAGCCAGATAAAGGAGGGGTATGGGCCAGACGGGGAAGCGATCATCTGAATTTTTGTATTATTTTTTTCTATCGATAATCAAGTTTCTTCTTATTCCCAATGTAAAATGCACTGGTATCTTTTATGATAACTCTTTACATGTAAATACACTCAAAAACATTATTCCCTAAGAAACTGAAAAAAGTTCTCAATGACTAATTGCAATAAAGTAAAAATCAAAATCAGCAAGCAACTATAGACCAGAGACACACTACAGTGGTGGGGAGGGAGGGGAGGAGAAGAGGGATTAGGGTAAGAAAAAGGGGGTGGGAATTGTATAGGGAATATAACCAAAATGAAAATGAACAATTATACAAAAATGAAAAATTATGTAAGAATTATATAAAATAAAATTTTAAAAAATGTAATGAATTTTGTGAAGTAGTTTCCATCCAATTGAAATAAATTCTATATAATATAGGAGCAAAACCTGAGAAAAGAAAAGTAGAAATGACTGATATTTTATCATACAAAATCCTACCAAATGAAGAGTAAGTCTCTTTAGAGATTAAAATTCATCCAGTTTACTTAGTAAATACAATGGCTTAATTTTCCTTCATTCTATTTTGCTTAAACCTCAAAAGAAAGTACTAGGCTTGTAAAATAGAGATTTAGTTTCCATCTGGTAAAAAATAATGTATTTTTCTCAATTCAGTGCAAGGTCAATATAGATCGTTTTTCCAAAAACTGTATATAGTATACAAACTTTTTCCTTCTTCCTCATTTCTCTGACCCCTGTGTTTTCGCTCCTGTGCAAAACTATACAAATCAACTTTTTAATTTCTCCACTTTGATTTTTAAATATGCCTCCAGCTCTGAGTAGTATGCTACCTAAATTTTCATGCTTGAAAATCATTCCCCATCAGCTGAAAGACTCCTATTGAGGGAAGAGTTCATCATTCCCAGACCAACCCAGAAATATTAAGAGAATGTACAAATTGCAAACTGGTTAATTAGCAGATTCATTCAGATTCAACCAAATGCAGTTTATTTATAAGGTATACACACTTACTGTTCGGGCCAGATTTTGGCACATTGCACTGAAAGTTAGGAGTTGTAGTTTAATCTCTGTGTCCCACTTTCGACAATTTTGAATATGTTCATGACTTCCAAGGCAATGATTACTGTCAAGATACATTAATTATTAATCAGTGTTATTCTACTCAAACTAGAAATTATATAGATGAGAGTAAAACATAAATTGTATCTGCAACAGCAATTGAAGAGAATGGTAAAATACAGCGATCTATTTTAAACTATGTTTAGCACTTAAATAGAAAAATAATTTCTACATAAAAATCAAAGCAAAGAAAAGAGAAGGAAATAAGAAAAACAGGGACACTGCACTTCTTGATGCTTAAGAGAATAAAATCTGTAAAACAACTAGACCAAATGTTACATCACTTGGCTAATAAAAAGATATATATGATAATGATTTTAGGCAACTGAAGAAAATCACAGCTTACTACTCTGTACAGTCATGCTACCAAAGGAAAAAGGAATCTCTAATGATGTAACTACTGATTCTTTACAGAAAGAAGAAACAAATCACTTAGGAACATATTATGCCCCACTCTTCCTATCAAGACTACAAGCTTGTGAAGGGCACGACCACATCCTGATTATCTCTATAACTCTCCACTGTCTAAGCCATGATGTCTTAAATATCTCAATGTAAGTTTATTGAGCCAATGAATTGATTCAAAAGGACCTAATGTACTTTTGGGTTATAAATTTAACTTATAATTTTTCTACCTTGAATCATTAAAAATGAAATTTCCAAAGATGCTGCTCAGTTTTTAAATGAATAAACTTACTTCTGCAGTACTTCCTCTTGACCACAAACTTTCAGAACATAGCTGCCAACATTTACTTGGTTCAAGTCATCATGTACCCAGCAAAGGGCTTGCATTATAATGATTTCTACAGTAGAACTCACTGTAAAAGAGTTAGTGGTCATTTTCATTTTGCTCACCTTACTGTAAGTACACACTTATTCAGATTGCATTTCTTATAATCTAAGATAGCACTAAACAACAGAAATACAAGTCACAAATGCAGGTCACACATGTAATTTAAAATTTTCTCAGTAGTCAAATTTTAAATAGTAAAAAAAAAGGCAATTTTAATGTTTTATTTAACCAATATATTTAAAATATCATTTCAACACATAATATTTAAAAATTACTAATGAGTTATCTTTTTTTCAAACTAGGTCTTTGAAGTCCAGCGCACATTTTATACTTAAATCACACCTCAATCTATATTAGCCACATTTCCAGTATTCAGTAGCCACATGTGACATGAGATTACAATATTAGACAAGACAGGTCTAAGCTAAGACAGCTACTTTCTATTATAGACTTTTCCAAAGAGGATGATAGCAGTATCCAGTAAAGAATAATTTAAAACTAATGATAAGGAAAGGGAACTGCCCCGTTTTTTAAAGAAGATTTATTTATTTATGCATACAAGAACTGGTGTACGGGCGAGAGGTATTGGGGGGGGGGTGAGAAGATTCACCAGAGACAGAGTGGAAAGCAGAACAGGCAAACTGACTGAAATACACTGCAGAGGGGAGCAGCGGGCCAGACAGGAGAGGTCTGATGCACCGTGTGGGTAGCTCCCTGACCGGCCAGGGATTGAACTCATGCTGCAGAGGCTGCATATAGCTTCACAGTGCTGTGCTTAACCCCTTGTGCCACCAGGGAGGCCCAGAACTGCCATTTTAAATGTCTGACATTTGGCTGGCAACCTCTTCAATGAAGAAAAAAAAATGCAGCAAGTAGGAACTACTGTTTAATTATCATTCTTCGGAAAAGCAGGACACTAAGCTTATGCCATTAAATATTAAAGCTTTTTAAATAACCTATTTCTATACTAGAACTTCTTTGTTCAGTTTAGAAGACAGTGATTACATTAAAACCATGAAAGTTAACAGCTTGGCAGAAAAGGCTACATTTCTGAATAGCCAAATGTAAGATAACACTGTTTTAAGACACAAACCACTTCTACCATAATATGGCTACATTTCTTGAGAGAGAGATACATTACAAATGTTCATGTTTATAAAGAAACAAATAGGCATTTGAAATTTTTTTTAATCAGATCTTTAAATATAAGTCAAACTTGCTACAAATTAAAGCATTTGCTATCTGCTTACCCATGCTTATTTTGATCAATTATCTTTATGACTACTTATTTCTCTGAACAGTAAGTTCAGATATTTTTCTTTTTCAATTTTAGTATTTATTCTTACTGCATACTCAGATTTAAATGATTTTCCATACCAAGACTTAAGATTTGTTAAAAAGAATAAATCTTCCTTTAGAAACTAACAGAATGATCTAGTTGGCTAACATTTTAACTTCAGACTTTGTTTCAAAGGTCCTTCAAATAGTGCAAAACCACAAAGAAAGTATCTAAATTTTAGACTTCTTTTTTTAATAAGTTTTTTTGTTTTGTTTTTTAAGATTTATTTATTTATCTGTGTGTGTGCTTGTTTATTTATTTATTTATACATACATACATACATACATGCATACATACATGCAAGCACTGGGTACAGTCAGAAGCGCGGGAGGGTGAGAGAATTCACCAGAGCCAGAGCAGGGAGCAGAGCAGGCAGAAGGACCAAAGTACACTGCTGAGGGGAGCAGCAGGCGGCAGGAGAGGTCTGCGCGCCATGTGGGACCCTCCTCCAGTGGCCAGGGAGCAGCCGGGGATCGAACCGGCGCTGCAGAGGCTGCGGGCAGCTTCCCAACCCAGCACTCAACTGCTGCGCCACCGGGGAGGCCCTTAGACTTATTTCTATTTATAATCATTACAGGAAAAAAAAAACGGAATAATCTTTAAGTCAAAGTAAGGCAGAAAATTAGGATCTTACCAGACTGGTAGAATCCCATTAAAATATGCACATTATGGGCCTCCCCTGTGGCGCAGCGGTTGAGTGCTGTGTTCCGAAGCTGCCCGAAGCCTCCGCAGCGCCGGTTCGATCCCCAGCTGCTTCCCGGCCACCGGAGGAGGGTCCCGCATGGCGCACAGACCTCTCCTGTCACCCGCTGCTCCCCTCAGCAGTGCACTTCGGTCCTTCTGCCTGCTCTGCTCCTTGCTCTGCTCCCCGCTCTGGCTCTGGTAAATTTTCTCACCCTCCCGCGCTTCTGACTGTACCCAGTGCTTGTATAAATAAATAAATAAGTCTTAAAAAAAAAATCCCCAAGACTAAAAAAAAAAATAAAGGGGAATCCATCCCTTCCATCCCTGTCATTTAAAATATGCACATTATGAAAAGCAATAACTGAATGAAAATACAAGATTTTTAAAACAAAAAGTTTCCTACAAACTTTCAATTACGTCTCTTGAAAAGACACCCACATCAAGTTTGGAAGAAAGAGCTAGAACCAAAGGAAAATTTTCTTTACCTTAGAGGGGTTCAGCAAGATAACTGGAATTTCGATTTCACTGGTAGTTCTTTATAAACAAGTACCTTCTTGCCATAAAATGAAAATAAAAAACTGGACTACAACAAGTTTTTCTAGGGTCTTAGCCAAGAGTCACTGATCAACCAAAGTTATGCAGCACTGTTCAGAGAAATAAGTAGTCATAAAGATAAACTGTTTTCCCACTGGTCTTAACCAGGAAACATCTACAGGAAGAACTTTTTTGGAAAAGGCTAACTAAAGAATGTTAAGTATTTTGCCACACACACAAAAACATTTTTAAGCATACTTAATGATAAGAGTTGGTTATCTCTGATAGGATAATACTAACAGTTTAAACATTTTCTCCCTAGTGAGAACAAAACAAGGTGGCTGGGGAACTACAAACCTACCATCACATGTAAAAGTAACTGGTAGTTGAAATCCTTCAATTTCAATAGAGACTTTCACACTGGCATTTTCTCCACAGATGTTTCTCTGCAGTATGACTGGGCTTAACAAATAACCTGGATTTGTGCAGTGACTGGTATATGGAAAGTTGGTCTTCAATCTGTTCACAAGAAAGAAATTAAAAGAAAAAATTTTTAAAGCTCCATTTCAGAGCCCTGAACAAGGCTGTGCATACTGACAACCATTCAATTCTATGTCTTTGTCCAATTCTAGAGCAGCTCATGAGAGCTACAATGAATGAACCTTGTCAAAATGCCAAGTACCAGGATTTTAAATAAAAGGAATCCAAGGAAAGAGATTAAGCACTGCCAGGATACCTTTGGTAACATTCAACATTAACCAAGCACATACCAGATACAAGACATTAAATGAAGTTCTATTTCCAATGATTTTTTCTCTACACTATACAATTATACAAAATGGTATATTTTTAATGTCATTGATAATACAAGTAATGTAACTGCCAAAAAGATAACAAGTATATTCTTTTTTAAAAATCTTTTTTGGAAAGTCTTTTTTTTCCTACCAACATTGTTTTGGCTTTTAGAATTCAACAACAACAACAATTAACAAAACCCCACATAAATGGCTCCTTACAGTGCTACAAGTCCTGTCTTTCCTCAAAGTGATTTGTAAAACTTAGGGAACGGGGAGAATTGTATAAGAAGGTATTCATGATATTCATGAATGTATTAGACAAAAATTGCATTCAATGAATTTGACTTTGGGGGAAACATCTCATTTTCTTTTCTTAAAACCAGTCTTTTCTTTTACACACCGATGTGAATATACCATCATGATCTGCAAATATAAAAATGGTTGAAATAATAAATTTTGTTATCTATATTTTACCACAATAAAAAAATTTTAATGAGGAATTTGTTTCTGCTCTATACTTTGGAAGATACTTAGTCCAGAAAAACACAGTAATTTTCTTTGTTTTTCTATAAAATTGATAATTTCTTCTATACTCAGTTGTTTCTGGCTTATAAAAATTGGCAAGGACTAAGATGGTAACAGATTCCTTAGAGTGGGGGGATTTTGAATTTGTTTATAACTAAACTTTTAAACATACAAATTAAATCAGTAAATAGACAATTGCTCTCTTCAGTAAATTGACAATTGCTCTCTTCAGTAAATTATTCACTTTAAATATAACAGATCAAATAGATAAGGTGTTTTTTAGATACTCTTAATCATATATTGCAGCTTGATGTTAAGTAACTGCCTATAGTGTATTTTTAATTTTCTCTAAAATTTCCATTTTTCCACATCACCACCACAGAAACAGTTTTACTTGTTTAATGTGATCATACAAGTTCATGAAATTTAACATCTCTATACATACACTAAAATTATTCATGGTTTATTTTTCTAATATGCTCAATCAAGCTAATGTTAGGTATAGACATTAGCAAATCCTGCAAAATTAGGACAGAAGAGAGAAAAACGAGTTTTAAAAGGTTTTAATTGAATTAATTCTACTTTATGGGAAAGAACAGAGTCCGTATTGTTTAGAATAAAATTAATTACAAGAATGGAGTTCTTAAAAACCTACAGGGAGTCAACATACCATTGTAAAATATAAATATCAGATCTGAGCCATATATTCAGAAGATTATTGAATGACAGCATGTATAGTTTCTCATCTACCCTAGGAGACTACTAATGAAGCAGCAAAAACTTCCACTGATATCTAACATTCATCCTTATATAAACTTTTTTTGCACCTGTGACTATTGGTATAGCAAGCTTTGTCAGTTACAGTAAATGTGAAAGGGAAGAAATAAATAATAAAGACCAGAGAAAACCAGAAATAATAAACATCCTGAATCAAAGTATTATAGAACTTTAAAGTAAAAACGACCCTTTGAAATCACTAGTCCAAACTGTCTAATTTCACAGAAGCAAAGAAGTAAGAAAGAAAGGGAAGGAGGGAGGGAGGGAAGGAGGGAGGAAGGGAGGAAGGAGGAAGTAAGGAAACACCAAACAAGACCTCAAACTTGCACTAACTTCCCAGTCTTGCTGTCACCTGAACTGTATACAATTATCAGCCTCACTGTCTAACACTAATATCATTGCTGAATCAAAAGGATTAAATGAATAATCTTAGGAGATTTCAAAAACTAGATTTGTTCTTTAGGAGTGTAAGTACTTGTTTTCAAAATCCACTGCAGAAATAGGCATACTGAAAAAAAGTGTCATTAATTTCTTCAAAAGACATTTTCTGATCCTGATAACAGAAGAACAAGAGAAGTTCCTAGAACAGAGCTTCAAAAACACCTCTACCTCCTACTGCTGATAAATACCTGCTGCAATCATATTTCACTATTGAAAATAAAATTACAAAATCATCTCTTGTTCACTTGGGTTTTATATAACATAAGTTACTTGGGGGGTGTGTGTGTGTGTGTGCAAAAAAAAAAAAAAAGCAATCATTTTATATTAGAGGAAGAGTTTGTGTAAATACTGCAAGATTCCAGTAGTGGGAAGGGGAGGTAAATCAGTCTAATTTCTCAATTTGCAAAACTGAATCCAGCAGTCATTCAAAAGTCTAAGAGAAAGCACACAGAGCTTCTTTGGGGAATAAATTAAAGAACTAAAGGTAATAATGAAGAGAAAGATTACAGATTATTTCTAAATCATTAAGGAAAAAAAATCATGAAGGAAAAAGATTATTTCCAAGCCATTAACCACACATACACAATGGTATAATAGCATAAAAGCATAGATAATTTCTAGTATACGTAATTTGCTCTTCTATTATAAATACCTGCTGAAAAATGAATTTTAAAAAAATCCCTAAAGGGATTTGCAGGGAAGAAAAAGTGGCTTTAATACAGATAGGGAGGGGAGGAGGTAGAGTAAGATGCGGGAATAGGAAGAGCAACAATAATCACACCTGAGGGAACAAATCCTATGTCAAAATATGTAAAACAATGGTACTTCTTTACTGATGTTTTTCTATCCTCCCACCCCAAGATATTCTGGGGGGGGGGGGGGGGAGAAATGCTTGTTACTTGCTCTTCTAATATTAGCTGTTATAATATCATCTCTTAAAAATGTAAGACAGTATTTTGAATGCAACAAACTTTATGGCAAAATTAATCTTGCAAAATAAAATTAAGGTATCTTCAAAGTGCACCAAAACTTATATATAAGCCACATTTTCACTGGTTAATAAAGTATAAAATATCTATGGCATCACCTCAGTTTTTTCTTCTAAGTACAGAGAAACCTAATGAGCAAGGATGCACTAAAATTAATGTGCCAATTAACTGTCTCAAAATTTTAGCTGGAGAGAAAACAATTAAAACTTTAAAATGTTGAGAATTATTAATATTAAATTGGTTTCAAGTTAATTTTTTTAAATAAGCATTTAATTACAAAAATAAACTTTAACTTAAAAAGAAAAATTCCATACTCTGTAATGGATTGACAAAAAGCTGCCACCTCCTCATTCTGTACTTCAACTTCTTGAAGAAGAGAACTTCCAGTTGGCAAACTTCTGGTCCCATTTGGGTCTTTCTACAATCAAAAAAGTGTTTTTATTTTCAAAGTGAAAGATTACCCAAAATTCTACGTAGCAGAACAGCATAAATACATTTAAAAAATATATATACAAACACATGGAAGTAAAATAAACCATATTAATAACAAAGAAATTACCCTTCTATTTTTATAAAAGTAATGTTAAGTAAGTCAAATTTTAAAGTTCAACAGTTTTACTTGCTCAAAAATAGAAACTGGCTATACTATGTATAGGTCAGTAATAATGATATTTCCATTTAAAATCTTCTGAAATAAACACTTCAGAGAGTTAATAGCTAAATGAAAGGACTACCCCTATGACTTAAGAAAATGAAGATTTTAAAAGTTCTCATCACCAGAGGATGTGAACAATTCACCAAAGAGAATATCCAGATCAATAGATAAATGGAAAATGTCCATCACAGCTTCCAATAAGAGAGTTGCAGGTTAAAAAAACTACAGTGAAATACCATATGAGATAGCAATGAGAATGGCACATGTTAAAAAGACCCCCCAACAACAATAAGTGGAGAGAATGCGGAGGAAGGAACCCTAATACACTATTGGTAGGAATGCAAATTGGCATAGCTATTACGGAAAGTGATCTGGTTTTATCTTAAAAAACTAAAATGGAAATACTATGTGATCCAGCAACCCACTCTTGGATATCTAACCAAGGAACATGAAATCATCAAAACTGTCTCTTTCTCCCCCCATCCTCTGCCCCCAATATTTACCGCAGCACTATTCACAATGGCGAGAACATGGAAGGAGCCTAAATGTCCATCAATGAATGACTAGATCAAGAAGAATTATATTCACACTATGGAATATTATAGTCATTTAAAAAAAAAAAAGGTGAAATGCAAAATGGAGGGAATTCTATGTATTAAAGCAAATTGGAATGACAAAAACAAATCCTGGAATTTACACAGCAGACGATTTGACAAAGTAAAATACTTACAAAAACAAGCGGACAATCAAAAACACCTTGAGGTTTCAAGGAGAAGAAAGGGACATGGGGAGATAAGGGATGATGGTGAGGGAAAAAAAGTGAAATACACTGCTAAGGGGAGCAACAGGCAAGGCAGGAAAGATCTGCTGTGCCATATGTGGATTAGCTCCCTGGCTGCAGATCAAATTCAAGCCTCAGGCCCCAGGCCACAGTGGTGATAGTGTGATAGTGCTGAGACTTAACCCCTACGCCACCAAGGAGGCCCAAAATTGGGGAAATTTAAAAAATTTTAAGTGTATTTCAGTAGATCTGCCTGTTCTGCTCCCCACTCTGTCTCTGGTGAATCCTCTCACCCCTTGAACTTCTGGCCTGCACCCCAGTTCTATGCAAAAGTAAAAATCTTTAAAAAAATTTTTATGTAAAATTATTTTTAAAATAAGCAAAAAAAAAAAAAAAGTAAAAATCGTCATAGAAATTCATATTGTTAGAAATTCAGATTTCCAATATCTTCTGGAAAACTGAAATCTATACTGACACATGGTGGCAGTAAAAAAGTTTTCATCAAAAGAAAGAAATGTATAACTGTGTGTGGTAACGTATGTCAACTAAACTTATGCTGGTGGTCATTTCTTAACACATACCTATACAAATCATTATGTTGTTGTACAGCTAAAATGAATACACTGCTATATGTCAAATTATATATTAAAAAACAAAACAACAAAAACCCCAACAACTAATTGGCAAGGGAAAAAGAAGACCATATGGAGAGCAAGCAAGTTTTGTACTCCTCTAATAAACCAGGAGTTCTATATATCCACCTTAGACCTTACATTCCAAGAAAGCAGCTGGTTCTTTATGTATAAGAGAATGAATTTTAGCAGTTAGTATTGTTTTATGTTAATAAATGTATACAAATTATCTTGATGGTTCTTCAAAAGTTTAACTTTATGTCTGGTCAAAATTTGCAACATTAGGGCCTCCCCGGTGGCGCAGCGGTTGAGCGCTGGGTTGCGAAGCTGCCCGCGGCCTCTGCAGCGCCGGTTCAATCCCCGGCTGCTCCCCGGCCACCAGAGGAGGGTCCCGCATGGCGCGCAGACCTCTCCTGCCGCCCACTGCTCCCCTCAGCAGTGTACTTCGGTCCTTCTGCCTGCTCTGCTCCCTGCTCTGGCTCTGGTGAATTCTCTCACCCTCCCGCGCTTCTGACTGTACCCAGTGCATGTATAAACAAACAAACAAAACAAATAAATAAATAAAAACATGCCTCTAAAAAATAAATAAATAAATAAATAAAAAAGTTGTGTAAAAAAAAAAAAAAAAATTTGCAACATTAAAGAGAAAAATTCACCACCCAAACAGAGCCAAACAGCACAATCCATTTGGAGGTGTTAGGGCTTAATACATAAAAGTACCTGAAATTTCAAATGAAAATTTCATTTAAAATTAAAATTGAACCATTCTCAAATCAAAATTAAGTGAATGAGAACACATATACAAATTTCAAGAATTGTAACTGATTTTAATGACCATAGCACACAAGAAAATGTCAAAAAAATCAAACTGATATTTTAGTGACAAACTTAAAACTCCTTTATCAATTTCCTTCTTTTAAAAGATGGCAGAGTCCCTTCTGCTAGAATGTAATATGCACATTTGGAGTAAAAAATACCTTGACTCCTACAAAATCAAAACTAAAAACAGCAGGACTCAGAGGAAAATCAGTGTTAAGGCAAATTTACTCAAAAGAAACGTAACTGTAGTCAAAAGCCTTAATAGTGTAATCAAAGCCCTAATTGAACTAATGAAAGTCCTACAAAAATAAGGGTGCAATAAATCTCCACTCAAAATATGCACTTAGCATTATGGTCTTCAATCTTTTGAAGCCTTAGAGCTGGAGTTCCTGCTTCCTTATTTGAAATATGGACTCTTGAGGGCATTTGCTTCTAGTCAAGACCAATTTCAATGAAACTGAAAATTAAAATCAGAATGTAGACTTTTTCAGCAAAGTTCTTAATACAAAAAGAAATGTCTTCACAACTTTTCTGTGTGCACTGCTTCACCAAAAAGCCTAATACTGTGGAAGTCACTCATTTAACCAACATTTTCACTAAAAGATAACACTTCTGCAAGACTTCCAATATTTTCCTTAAAATCTTATATTACTAAGGCTTTCTCCTTAATTGTGAAAAAGTTTGTTATTAATTACTTTAAGATGGTAATATGCTGGAAAAGATTATTTAAACTAATGTTTGAGGGCCTCCCTGGTGGTGCAAGGGGTTAAGACACAACCTATGAAGCGATCCGCAGCCACTGCAGCACGAGTTTGATCCCCGGCCAGGGAGAAACCCACATGGCACAGCAGACCTCTCCTGTCACTCCAGCTGCTCCCCTCAGCAGTGTATTTCAGTCAGTCTGCCTATTCTGTTCCCCACTCTATCTCTGGTGAATCTTCTCACACACACCCCTCCCCACACCTCTGACCTGTACCCCAGTTCTTGTATGCATAATCTTTAAAAAAAAAAAAACTAATGTTTGAACTTCCCCATTATATGCCGATTATACAGGTTAATTTGTGTTTCAGAAGTAAACACTCTAGCAAATAGATTACACAACCCTAAAAATGGAATCTGATATTTCTAACAAATAGTCTGACCTGACACTCCAAGATAGACATCACAAATCTATTTCCCAGAACTTACCAATTGAATTCTATGTTCCAGTTAGCTTGAATCATATCCTGTTCCTCTAAAACATAAATTGAGCTATCCTTCCTCTGAACTTTTCTGTTTGTCTGCAATGAATTCTTCCTAATCTGCCCTTACACCGTGCCTCAAAAATCTATGAAAGGCCCAATTCATCTACAATGCCAGTTCAACTATAATTCCTTCTATGATTACTCAGTATGAAAAACTTCTTCTCTCCAAGCATTTCTAAGTACTTAGTATGAACTAAACACCGTATCATTACATCCTGTTTTATATTTGGACTAATGTGAAAGCACACTGAAGGCAAGAATCAAATTTCAGTGAACTTTATATTTTCACAGAACTTTGTATGCAGTTTAGCAGGCAGTCAACCACTGGTTCGATTTTTTGAACGTTTAACTCTTTAAAACACAAGTTAGAATCCACGTAAATATAACCAGCAAACTTACCACAGAAGTCATAAAATATTTAAAATATATTAGGCACCATATAATTTCTCCAATAATCTCCTTAAAAGAGTAGCAGTTATTTTCATTAATACCTGACAGTATAAAATAAGCTTTCACTAATTATTATTGGAAATAGTATCTAAATTACAATGAGACACCACCTCACATCTATTAGTATGACTAATACTAAAAAATAATGGAATTTCTCTCTCTGCTTAGTGCTATCAGCTTTCATCAAGATCGCTAAGAGTAGGGCCACCCTGGTGGCATAGGGTGTTAAGTCTCAGCTCTACCAAGCCATCGCCAGCCATTGTGGCCTGAGTTTGATCCCACGCCAGGGAGGTGACCCACGTGGCACAGCAGACCTCTCCTGTCTCTTCTGCTGCTCCCCTCAGCAGTGTATTTGAGTAGATCCACCTGTTCTGCTCCCCACTCTGTCTCTGGTGAATCCCCAGCCCTTGCAAATCCATACACAGAATTGGCTTCAGTATTTTCAAATGGAGAGGTCATCTATTATTGGAGGAGTGAAAGGAGTAGATGGATTATGAGTTTAAGGAAACTAGTGAAGGTTTGAAATAATTCTTATCATGACATAGTCTATATAGCAATTATAAGAATATGGGAAGCCTTATTTATGCCTGCACAAGCCAAGACTCATGCCATATTATCCAGTAGATGGAAAACACCAAGTTTTCAATAAATGTACTTTAAGCTTTAAACATGTATTATCTGTTACTATTCAGAACAAAGCTGGTTATTTCCTTATTTGAAATTAAAAAATTTTTTTACAAAGAACCGTTAGTAAGTTATTCTAATACTGTACTAACAACATTCAGCTAGACAATGAAATCATGTTTTATTTCAAATACAGCACAAGTCTGATTTCAA